AGCTCAAACGTTATTGGAAAAATCCGAGATCTATGCATTAAATATAAGCAAAAAGTTGCTTTGCTCTGGGTACCTGGCCACGTCGGAATTCCCGGCAATGAGCAAGCCGATAATGCAGCGAAATATTTCGAATCAGCGCCAACCTTTCAATATGAGCCCCAGGACCAAAATGATGTTAAGAAAATGCTTCAAGAACATAGTCGCAATAAAAGTCTTATGAAGTGGAGACGCTTTGAACACCGATACACAAATCTCAATCCTGCTCGGAACAAAGTCATTTACCCCACCAGCATCAGTCGCTTACAATCAACCATCTTCACACGCCTAAGGATAGGTCATACTCAGTTAACACATCAACACATTATCATCGGCAGGCAGCCATTGCCCTTTCTGCGGGAACAACTTGTCCATCGATCACATTTTCAACAATTGTTTGGCTTTAGAGAGTATTAGGAATAATCACTTTATCACTGATCAGTATCATAAATTATTAACTACCCCCTTTCATGATAATATTACAAAGATTTATAATTTTTTTTTATAATATAAGTTTTACTTTAGCTTTTTCTTTATATATTAACATTCGGAGCCGATGGCCACCGTTGCTTGTGCTCCTCTATGCAATTAAGTCTAATATTTGTATATTATTCCTAATAAACAATAATAATAATAATAGACTCGCAACATAGCTCACCTAACGGTTGTTTATAACACATAAAACTAATCAAGGTACACAATAACTTATATAGATATATGGTTATATACAGTGCGTTTCAAAAATAACGTTTGTGTTTTCCAAAGTGTAGGTAGCGTTTTTTGCTACAAATTTCTTAATTATAGAAAATTCATTTCTTTGCTATAGCTGACGGCTATTCTGGTGACTGTGATGGCCACAATCTAAAGTAACAAAAAAAAGTAAGTTTTACTGTTACCATTGAGTACAGAGTCTGCTCCTATGTTCTATGTCCGTTCATTATATTCTTGCAGTATCAAATTATAGTTATTTTTAGCACAAAGCATTTCAGTTGATTTAAGTTAGCCCTTTTCGTACAATTTTATCATTCTAACGGCGTTCAGGTTTTCTATGAAGCAGTTCAAAACCCCTATTTTCATGAGCAGATAAGCATCGATAAACCAGCTCATTTTGGGAGGGCTTAACACACTGAATCCTTTTCTTATCCAAACACTTCTCGAGGGGTTGAGCAATCCAGATTTTAAAGTATCTGTAAATATTACATTGCTCATCACGGTTGATGTTTTCCTGCACCCAAGGTAACCTTTTCTCAATGTATGTTTTTGAAAGTGGGGATTTGATTACAGTACTGCTGCGTTTGAAGTCTGTCCCGTATTTAAAGATATATCTAATCCCATTTTAAACAAAACTGGCTTGTCATCTATGTTTCCAGTTTATCCATAATGACCAGAAGATCTCTTCACAAATGTACAACTCGTATTTAAATTAATAGTCCAATTTTTATATCCTGAACAGGGTATATTAAGTAAGGAGACCCTATAAAATACAATGCAAATGATCAGCATGTTGAACAGAATTGATTTAGCCATGTTCGTCTGTCTGTATACATATATACAAACTAGTCCCTCAGTTTTTAAGCTAACGATCTGAAATATTGCGGTCGATATCGCACCCCTATAGCATATAGCTGCCATAAAAATTGAACGATCGGAATCAAGTTCTTCTAAGGAGACTTTGTATTGATGAAGGGTATTATAGCTTTCGTGCAACTGAAGACAACATTTTTTCTTGTTTTAATAGTCCATTTGGGACCTTTAAGATGCTACGTTAGAAATGCTGCGCATGCGCAAAAGAAAAACGTTATTTTTGAACGCATTCTGTATCTAAATACTCTGGATGCCTCTCAGTCCGTTCGTCCTGTTCGTGCTAAAGCCATATTAGTTTTTCGTTTATGTATTTCATTAAATAGTTTGAATACAACGGTTTTTTTATTTTTATTTCCCCTTAAATTAAAACAATCTGACATTAATAAAGATATATAAATGAAACTTAGCACAACTAGTGCATCTCGTCTACTCAAAGCATCGGTTGATTTCTAAGCCGACTTATGGACTCACCTAATTTCCTTAAATTGTCTGGTCTTCACCTAACAATTATGTATGTAGTGTCGGCGCAAAATGGACACAGGTGTTTCAGACCTAATCCACAGCCGAATAAGAATATAGGTTAAAATGTGAAATAATTTAATGATATTACATAAGCCTGTTATTTTTTATTTAATAGTTACCAAATTGAAGAAATCGGACTATATCCAATATGATTTCCGTACTCCTGAGTATATTCCGTTAGTTTGCACACTAAATATTATATCACTTACGAAAATATTTAAATAATTAACTTTTTTATTGTACTACTAACTGTAATATTTATTTAATTATGTTTAACCTTGGAATTATGTGAGTTCTTTTAATCAAATGACCTAAATAATTTTCAAAAATTATAAATTTTGTTGCTAATGCAAAATAGGCTTAGAAGGGCGCAAATTTTGAGATTTGCATAGGGCGGTAACTTATCTCTAGCCGGCCCTGTCTAGTGTCCCAGTGATTCGATTCTTTGTTTCGAAAGGTTTAAAAGCAAACGAAATTTATGTACAATTATTAAAAGTATATAAGGTCAAAACGCACCGTTGACTTTCGAGCTGGTGAATTCAAAGGGCGACCAAAAACCGCAACCACACCAGAAATCATTGAGCAAGTTCATTATATTGTTAGTGAAGATCCAAGTTTCACTAAGCGTGAAATTGCTAATGCCATAGGCATCTCAGACGAACGATTGTTTCATATTTTACATTGGGAATTACATATGAAAAAGCTGTTTGAAAAGTTAGTGCCACACACGTTAATAATTCAACAAAAACTGGATCGAAAACAGGTGAGGTCACAACGATCAGCAAAGTAGGTTATGGCATCAGTTTTTTAGGATGCAAAAGGAATTTTGACGATTGATTGTCTGCAGAAAGGTAAAACAATCAACTCTAAATATTATTCCAGCCTTTGGCTGTTTCTAAATAGCAGCTGTTTTCTAAATAGTTTTTAACAAGTCTTGCAACATGAAGGCGATTTTGTCATGATGGAAAATTATTACCTTGTGTCTAGCTGTAAATTCCGGACGTTTTTCGTCAATCGTTCGCTTCAATTTGATGAGTTGTTGATGATAGTGTTCCCCATTAATAGTTATACCCGGTTGTAGAAGCTCATAACACAGTACGCCCTTCTAATCCAATCCAATTTAGAGCATTACGTTACTTCTTTTTGAGGTCAAGCAGCATTTCTGACATGCAAGATCGTCTTTCAACGTTACTTGGCTCAATTCTTATGGCACCCAAGTTTCTTGCTTTTGAATGTATCCGGTTAATTGTTGTTTACTCTACTAAGGAATGAAAAATACTGAAAAAGACGCAGAAGGACAGTAGCTTTCTAATGTATTTTCGGAATATTGGAACATTAGAGTAATAATCTAGTTACGCCACCTCTTATCAAACCGCACGGTTATATTTGTAGACGCAATATAATTTTTAGTAGAAATAATTCTGAAACCCGTTCAACTATATGCAATTAAGTCACTCCATATTCAATTAGAGCAAGCTAATCAAATGGGTCCGTAAACACTTATTATATAATTTTAAAATATTCTTTGAATATCAGCAAACCATGTACATATGTATGTATATGTTATATGCACATATTGGTTGACTTAACATTTGTTTTGGATTTAACTCAGTAAACATACTGGCATTGCCCTTAGGAGGCACTTAAACAATAGCTTTTGCCAGCATTACATATTAATAAATAAATGTGACAAGTGTCTAGTATCTGTCAGCTGAATTTCAAGAAGACGTTTTAAATGCTAATTGACATCAAGAAATAAACGATATTCATTTAAAAATAAACCTGTTCACACACAAATTTATACTCTAAGTTTATGTATAGGCATAAACACCCCGGAGTTCTATGACGGTATCCTAAAAATATGCTGTAGACGGAAAAACAAAAAGATGAATATAAAAAAGAATGTTAAATTTAAGGAAAAGGTGCATTTTTATCAGATTAAAGTGTCGCAACAAAGTCAGAGGGGCAAGTGTTCATTATTTGTTATGTGACATTTTTGTCGCCCATATTGCCGTCAACGTAGCTGGGAGCCATGGCCGCCTATAAATGTCAGTGCGATAGACGTGCACACCGAATTTATTGGAATAAAGAGAAGATTCAAAACAGCCGCCACGTCGACCGCCGTTGTCGGCACAGCGAAGGGGACAACGGTGTTAGGAAGCTACGAGCAACGATAACGTGGGAATATTGTTTGATAGCATCAATTGTTGGCGCACAACAATAGCACCCTTGCGACGACTCATTAGCGCCACGTCAAGCTTTGATAAAGGCAATTTAATGTGCAAAATTTTATCCATGAAAGTGACGATGAAAGCATGAAATTCCTGCATAATTTTGGTTAAGGCGAAATTGTACAATTGCTATTTTTCTTCATATCAAATATTATGAAATTTCTCACTGTTATGAGTTTAAAATGTAGCAAGCTTAGGCTGCTAAAAGTGGTCGAAAATTGGTCCTCTCGGCTGGAACTTATTCCAGTCTGCCTCGCGGTCACTTGTTCGAAATAATTTTTAAAACATAATGGCAAACTCTCTTGCCTTTACAATAAACCTAAAGTCTTGGCCATAACATTAAATTATATGCGTTTATTTCTTCTTGAAAACCACATGTCTAAAAAAAAACACCCTTATATTGCTGTCCACAGCACACACACAGCACAATTTCTCTCCACTATAGGAAGATGTATAGTATTTCCTTCAAGCACAATAAGAGGAGTGTGAGCCATAACTCCCTAACCCAAATTTATACCGCCAATGAATAAGATTTTCTTATATTTATGTGTACTTACCTTACCACTGGTTACAAACCAATAAATAAATATAGCTATTTAAATTGATTAATTATCATCATAAATATTTGTTTTAATTTGCGAATAAAATAGTAATGTTCTTCTGTGAGTGCATATGTGCTTTTAGCTCGAAAAATTATTTATCTTTATACACAATATTTAGATGGTTTCCTTTAACATTGCATCTTTCAATTCGCTTTTAATTCCTTTCTAAACGCTTAAACATTGCGTGATGTGCAAAAGTCTGTAACCACATCCTTATCCTCCACCTGATCGATTAGCACCAATTCATACACAACAATAGTGCCAGCCATCTGATGAGTACAAGGGAATATATATATATGTATATATACTCGATTTCAAACATCCCTGTACACATACATATGTATATATAAATATATTATATATTCTATATTCACTATTCCAATGAAACAGCTTAAGACGGAGCTTGAATAATAAAAATTGTGATTTAAATTTACGCTTTCAGCGCAGAAATATCTTAAAAGTCACTAACAAACAACAAAGAAAATACGAATAAAATAAAGAAACAATTAGTGTCATAACTGCATATTTCCTTTACCCATATAAATATTGAATTATGAAATATCGTCCTCATAACTAGACAATACTCGTATATTACGTGGCAAATATTCGTTTTTCGTTTAGCTGCCAAAAAAGAGAAAAATAAATGTAACGAACAAACTTGAAAATTAAATATTCGAATTCGCACGAATTTTAACAAAATGGGTCTTACCTGGTCCAAATTTAGACCTTTTCAATTGTCCCTGAACCTTGAGATGTTTGCATTTCGGAATTTGGTATTCACTTGCTCAATTTGTTTTACTCTCGCATCATACCTATTGCACAGAGTACAAAGTCTAGCTAACAGTTAATTGCAACTAATCTGTTGGGATAGTTCGGTTGCAGTCGAGTTTAAATTAATTTATCTAAATAAAATTGCACTACAAGTGTTGCCAGCTAGTATAGTTTCTTCGATTCGGTACCCTCCAACTTTTGACGAATCGAGGGCAAATCATTTCTGAGCTAGCAAAACTATCTCATATAAATCTTAACCTTCATATTCGGGATAGAATAGAAAATTGGGCGAAAATTTTTAAATTAGGTATCAAGGCCTCGACCTGGATTAATTTTTGAGGCTAAGCCACACTTAGGCTGAAATCACATGTTCAATTATTGTAAAATAAAAATATGGTGTTTATGCCTATGTATTCGGAAATCATTATAATAGGCATATGGACACCAGAAAAAAGTTCAGACTGATTTCCTATACTTTTGTCTTTACGTTGACTTTAAATCGTACATGTCAGTTAGAGAATATCTCAATAAAATTGAAGAAAATTAATATTATATGCATATAATTTTTTTTGAATCAAAAAATGGATAAAATCGCGGTTATCCAAAAAAAAGATTTTCAAACCTCTGGTTGAATTTTTATAGTCTTTTTCGGTTAGATGATGCGCTAAGTCAAATTTATGGAAAAATTAATTAATTAATTGACATATATAATGTGAATCGGAGCGGAAATATTTTATAACTTCCTCTATTTCTAATGTAATGAATGTGTTAATAATAGTTTATTTTAATCCGAGTTACTTAATAGAATATATTGTTTAATAGCCCCAAGAAGAGATCTTAATAAAAGTAGTGGAGAAATAGTTAGAACACAATTTAAACGGTCCCAAAAGCTAGCGAGATCGCTGCTAAGTTTCACATAGAAGATTTCATTTCCAACATTTGGCATACTTAGTATAACGTCTAGTAAAAATAAATACATTACTTTTCCAAAAGACAGCTGCAGTAATCGTTGTATACCTAAGTGCGATCGAGTTACGCTATATGGAGGTGGAAAGATAAGATTTTATACTCAAAGAACCTTTCAGACGGTTTTGTGATTGCTTGCCGTTCCGGTAATTTTGATGTCAAAGATGCACTACGCTCCAGAAGGGCAATCGTCGAAAATGTCGATAAAATCGTTGAGTCCATTGTGCAAAAACCTGTTGGTACTATTTAAATATGATGGATATATGTTATCTCGATGTATGGGTGACACACAACTTAGCGAAAAAAACCTCATGGATAGAATTGCCTCTGGTAATTAATAGTGGGTCACCTATGATAACTTCAAAGGAAAAAGGTTGTGGTCGATTCGCGGTGACCCATCGCAAACGGTGGCCAAGCCATAATTGTCGGTCAGGAAAGTTTTGCTATGTTTTTGGTGGGAGGCTGCGAATCATAAACTATTAGCTCCTCACCTACGGCCAAACTCTGAATTCGGATTTATGCTATCAACAATTGGACCGTCTGAAGTAAGCTATAGATCAGAAGCGCCCTGTTTTAGTCAATAGGATAAGAATTGTGTTCCATCAGCTTTCTATCTGTATCAAACTACCTACCATCGTATCAAGAAAAGCATGTGAAAATCGACTCCCACAGTTTTTTGCCAATAGGGACAACGGTTTCTATGAGAGTGGCATTATAAAATTAATTCTTAAAAATGGCATCAAATTATCGTATGAAGCTGTGCATGTTTAACCTAAACCGGATCATTATAACTATACCAAATAAAATTGAATTTCATGCAAATATAATGGATATCTTTTTAGTAGAATAATATTTCACTAGCCGGCTATTCTTGCACATTTCGAGAGTATCCAATCCTCGGTTCCGACCAAACATATCACTTTCTTACTTGTTACTTTAAAAATCACTAGATCCCGCTCAAGCTGTTTCACTACATGGATAAGAATAGAAGTGCAGAATATAATTTATATGTATGTCTGTATTTCAGTGAATTTTTCATTGATTGTCTAATAATGATGACTCACTTACCGCAAATATGAGGCGACGCGTCAGAAAGAAGAAACTCTTACCACTAAAAGCAACCAAATCGTGTACGATGATTTCATTTAAGCGTTTGAGCTGAAAAATATGAACAATAATACAGCTCTACAAAAACAACATTTTATTTGTTGCCCGGGATATCTTAGCAAATTTTGATGCTTTTATGTGTCTAGATTAGATCTTTTAAGATAATTGCATATTTAAAATTTGGATAATTGTGGGCTTGTTAGTAATAAAAATTTAACTTTCCTGTCAAAGATTTAAAAATAAATGAGAGCAAATCAAAACCATTATAAGATTTATGAACTGTGTGCACAAATATACCCAAAATCGATCTGGGCAACAAAACCACTGGAGACAAGTGTAATTTTCCAAAGATGTACAATGGATATTGAAATATATTCGAAATGCTTCGTATACATAAATAAAAACTCGAAAAGCAAATGTATAGGCAAGAGAACGCATACATACGTGGACAGTACGAACAAACGCACATTTTACTCACTTCGAGGCACCAAAACTTCGTTGGGATCTCATACATAGTCGACATTATTTGCTTCACCTCGTCATGCACCACACCCGCTGACAGCATCATTGTTAAGATGCGCACTAACACAAAGAGCAATGAGAACCAAAAATAAAATTCTTTCATAAAGTTGTCTCGATTGCTACATGTAGATGAGAGTGGAAAAAATAAAGTAGTAACAAAATATATGAGTCACTGTGTCATACAGTTGCAGAATATTTTTGTATTTATTCATCTGTCTTAGAAAATATAGTATTTAGTAAAAAACGAAAAGTACAATATTTTTCAATGTTTATTAACATTTTTTCGAAATTATTGAGTGAATCATAGCTTTAATAATAGGAAATAAAATTGAGAGTACAGAGACCTATTTTTTCGTCAGCGATCGTGCCAATACTTCGACAACAAACTTAGGTGGTTCTACGGATTCAATTGATCTGGCTGTTCTAATATACGATCTCACTAACAGTACCGTACATTATCTAGCATTAGTTATATAAGTATATACAATGTACCGTTTTATCTCTAAGTGGGCGCGGCTATTAGTTGTACCTATAGAGTATAGTGGAAATCAAGACAAGTAGAAATCTATCAGATATTTTTTAAATATATCTCCCAAAAAACTCTTTTTATACTCTTGCAACAGGTTGCTACAGAGTACAATAGTTTTGTTTACCTAACGGTTGTTTGTACCAACTCAAACTAATCGAGATAGATATAGGTTATATATATGTATATATATAAAAGTTCAGGATGAAGAGACGAGTTAAGATCCGGGTGACTGTCTATCTGTCTGTGCAAGCTGTAACGGGAGTAAAAATTTAACTATCGAAATGAAACTTGGTACACGTTTTCCCTGGTAAAAAATAGGGAGGACAAGTTCGTAGATGGGCGTAATCGGGCACTGCAACGTCCACAAAACGCCATTAATCGAAAATTTATAAAGTGACATAACTAAGCACAAAATAAAGATATAAAACTGTAAATTGGCACAGGTAACACAAGCAGCATCTGTGGGCTAACAATTTTGAAAAACTGGGCTTGGCCCGCACTCTATGAGTTTAATGCACATATCTCTTGAACCATTCAAGCTATTATAACCAACTTCGCTAAGAACCGCTACCGACAGTGTGAAATCGGATTATAACCCTGCCCTCTCCCAATATAACGGTTCTGTTAAAAACTATAAGCGCTATAAATCAATAAACAACGCGTCAGAAACCTAAAATGTTGCTCTCAATATCATAGAAGAGAGCTTTATAGGAGCCCCTGTCAAAATTTGACGATGGGCGGGGCCCCACCCACATTTAGGTGAAAACCCATATCTCGAGACCTGCTGAACCGATTTCGGTAGGTAGCGTTATTCTAAAATTCCTATCTTGCTGTGCAGAAAAAGGTGACATCGGAATAAAGCCACGCCTACTTCTCATATGTTATAACGCAATTTTAAATTTCATCTAATTCTTTCACCTTTCAGCATACAAATTAAGCACCAAGCATATCGGGATAAAACTTTGAACAAATACTGCTTTTAAATTCTGCGAGACATTGACCAAAATTTTCCAAATCGGACTAAAACTGGTCAAGCCCCCAGATACCGAATGTATGCAGTCCATTTCTGATCGCGAGCTTTTTATCGAAAATATTGGTCAATCTGTGGAATAAATAAGCTTAGAAACTCAGAGAAAATCCTTATCTGATAATAATATGCCATATCGGACTATGAATTACCAAAACCCTATATACTCAATACAATTTAATGATTTCCGTTACTCAACAAACTCTATATCTAATATGTCGGACAGCGTATGATTTATATATTTATATAATTACTTTCAAATATGTTCTTGATATACCTAAGTGTCAAAAGTGAGTGAAACAAGCCCAGATATTTATTGCCCCAATATACCCTATATTATGATTTCCGACTTCCCATCTGTCTTTAAGCCGCTTAGGTATGTCAACATGTCTGATATTTTAATAAATTTAACTGGACCGTTTAGCCTTTGGTCAAACCGCATATCCTTAATATAATCAATTCCGATTTTCTGGATGACAACTCAATATTATTAAATTTGGCGTTTTTGGATGAGTTTATGTCAAATTCATCTTATTTATAAATGATTTTAATGGCAGAGGAGATCAACAAAGAAGATTGTGCACCACAATAATGCACCGACATACCATGTCATCACTATCGTAGATTTTTCGACCAAAAATGAAATAATACCACCCAATAATAACCGTATTCACCTGATAGAGCGCTTTGCTTTTTATTAGCAGAGAGGAACTGATGGGTAAATTGGAGACAGTCCTGATAGCCATACCAAAATTTGAGTTTAATAATGTTTCCAAAATGGGATCAAGCGTAGAAGGGGACAAAATTGAGTTTCGTTCAATAAACTTAAATTTTAAATTTTATAAATAAATCAAATAAATTTTAATCGAAATAGTAATCGATGAAGTATATTATCGTGGTTTTAATAATTTTTCAAAAAACAAATACTCAAAACAAATTTTCTAATTTTAAATTTTATGGCACTGAGCCGTGCCCGCCCCATTAGAATTCTTTGTACACTGATTACGGATGTCCCTTAGATTTTGTATGACTGTACTGATAATTAACTGACTTTTAGTCTTTCCTTTACTGTTTCACACAATTCCAAGAATGTCTCGACAGCAAACTGAAAGATATGAAGGGATTATATTTGGAGTAATCGCTACGGAAAATATTTAATTACTGCGTTGACCATTTATCTATTTTAACGAGCTAACAAAAAGATTTAAAACAAGTAAGGGAGTGAAGTAACTTTTAACCGAACATTTCATATTCTTACAACTTGTAAGGATCCAAGGCCGCGAAATTCTTTCAGAGGCTGGCAAAACTTAATATTGAACAATGTTGTGAAAAAACTCAACACTCATTATTCAAAGAATTGTGAATAAATTACAATAAAATTTAGTATCTTCTTGACTTATAGTGAAGACCATTAACTTAATGTTATTGTTATATTTTAGTTCGCGTCAGCTAAAGTTATTTTAAAAACATCTTCACATGAGATACATGTGAACTCAACTCAACCGAAGATGCTAAATTTAGTACAAGTATAAATTGAGTTGATGTGGAAAATGTCAACCAGAGGATCGGAATTCATTATATTAGAGATATACGGTTTAATTATAACACGTGACAATGGTCCGATTACGCCCATCTATGTTGGGCACGAATTCGTCCTGACTTTTTTGCCAATGAACATGTGTACCAATTTTCATCCTTTTTACTTACCTCTTTACTCAAATTATCGCTTGCACAGACAGGCAGTCACTCAGTCAGATTACTATGCTATTGAATAGAACTTACTTGAAGCTGTGAAATATTTGCACGCATATAAAGTAGAGATTATTGCAAAACGACACAAGTATCAAAGTTGACAGTCCATTGTCGAAAAGGCGCAACAAATCTACTAGGCTCATAAAATCGTTACGCACCTCCTGCCAGAAATTATCAGGCATATGCTGTGGATTACAAAAAAGAGTTCATATTATTTAAAACAACGACTATGTATGTGTCAAATAATGAAAATCTGTGCAGACACGTAATGATAACAAACCAGCTATTGCAAATGTCAGACAGGTCTGTAACAAAACCTGGAACTTACGATTTTATTTACCTTTTTTGCATGTCGCCTAATTCGCCAATGCATTTGTCGAAAACGTATCGCGAAACAGCGAAAAATCATACTTAAAAATATATCCACATAGTTCCAAGCAAAAGTAGTCGATATAGTAATCCACTGCAAATAAATATAGTTAGTCCACTGATCATCAATTTCATGTGAACAACAACACAGATATCCTGTTGAATTTTTGCTAAGGTTAAGTAATCATTCATTATTTTCATAGTTACACCCTGAACCAGGTATATTAAGTTTTCAACTAAGTTGTTTAACACCCAGAATTAAACGTCTGGGAAATCGGAATCAAATTCTTGTATGGAAAGCTTTTTTACCTGGAAAGATATTTCCACAGTATTTGGCACGGATTATTATTTAAAGTATTACTACAATATCAGAATAAATTTTTTATATCGGACGACTATAGCATATAGCTGGCATAGGAAATATAAGGAAAACTTTTTATTTGACCAGATATTTTCACGAAATTTGGCATGGCTTATTGTCCAAGTAAACGGTACAATATTTGTGTAAATTTTTCAGATCGGAATTCTTTAGCAAAATTCAAAAAATTTACTATTTTAAGCGTCAGTACCCTGCTTCGCTTGAAGCTTTATTTTGAATTGCGGAGAACTTTAAGTGAATATATAATGCAGGTTATTTTTAACCTCAGCGCTGCAATATTACATATGGTACATGAGTGGAAATCAATTACCTGCACCAATGGAATCAAGTAAGCGTGGTAGTTGAATATCGAAAATATCTGCAAACGCTCACGCATATAATAATGTTTCCAAAAATCCACCGTTAAATTGCACTTCTTAATTTGAAAATCATTATTGAGAACTGCAGTCCCAATGTACACAGAATGCTCCACTATGAAAGGCGAATATCTTTCAAATGTTAAATTCAACAAAATAGGTATTGCCAACAATGCTTACTTGCCGCACCGAAAAGTAAAATAGCACCAAACTTACGAACATTATTAGTGAAGTTTCGAGATTCTCTATTTGCATAGGATTTCTGTAGAAACACAAATTCGCAGCGATACATATGTTTTATCAGATTTGGCCATTTTCGTGCGAGCTGCAGAAAGCTGCTGACGCTCACCGCAGATATAATGCTAAAGCTGAAAGGACCTGCAACCAAACAAGGTGAGAGTATATATGTACATATCGATTATGGGAAACTTAAACTTGCTGCTACAAATTTTCATTAATATTTTACCCACTGTGTACAGCTTCAGGCCGAACTCCATCACCACCTTCGTAGAGAGCACCACATCGGTGAGCGAGAAGACGATCATGATGACGGAAAGGAATGAAATTAGAGTGCACCAACTGAAGTGAACACGCTCCACATACGATTTGCGACACGCCCCAGTCACAGGCAACGTGGCCAATACTTGCGAGATCATCATAACTATGTAAACACACAAGAGTCGAAATGTAGCAAGTCTTTTATAAAGAAATCAATACACATTGCCATATATTGATAATAAGCAAGATGTGAAGGCAATATGGCGCACGCTGCACTTGTCAGGTGCTTGTGCGAAGCTGCACGTACTTACATGGTCTCAAGGCATGATGCATTGTGTTGGTGTTCTGCGGAGACGCCTCGCTGCTCGCCGCCACTCGGTTGCCTTTTGCCATTCGCTGGTGCAAATATTCTTTCGACTCACGCAGCTGCAAAGCACTGCTTGCAATAACTCAGCATACGCGAATGCAATGCCATAGCTCAACCGTTAGAATATTTTTGAATAATCCACTTCAACGTTGCACTTTTATTTTTGATTCATTGCCACATTCTAAAGCATTAACAACAACAGCATTTGCGTGCGAAGCGTGTTCATGTTGAAAAAATTGCAAACTAACGATTCTCCCTGATATCAATCAACATAGCTGCGCGGAAAGTTAAATAGCAGTAACGAGAAAATAAAAGTTTAATGCCAAATGTGGCAAATACCAACGAGGGAAGGACCTTTCAGATTCCTTCGGCGATAACAGTTTTGTATTTGCTGAGATTGAATATATGAATGAATCAAGAGAAAACAGTTGAGTTGAATATATTGCAGTAAAAGAAAAAGCCCTTAATTGGATTTTGAAAATTCAATTGCATAAAAAATTGCATCAAAAGGGAAAGGAGCAAAGTAAAGAGCGTTTTTTAAGACATGTGGTTTTCAAGAAGAAATAAAACGCAGATAATTTAATGTTATAGTCAAGAACTTAGCTCTATTATACAGATAAGGGTTTGCCATTAGTACCGCTGCGGCTCGCTTGAAAAACTTCAGTCCATATATCCAATTTTTAACCACTTTTTGCAGCAGTGGAAGCCGTATTTCAGCTATAACGTACCGAATATTCTCCTTCAAGGCATCATTAAATTAACAGTTTAATTGGATGTAAGGCATTAAGCGCCGTATTGTTGGATCAACAGGTCATCCTCATTAGCATCCTCAAAGTCATTAATCAATGCTCTATAGCATTCGCCATTGACTATAACATTTAGGCCGGATTCATTTTTGATGAAATATGAACAAATGATTCCCTTCGCCTATAGACACCAAACAGTGCCTTTTTAAGGATGTAACGGTGTCTCAACAATGGGTTGTGGATTATCATCACCTCAAATGTAAGAATTTTGTTTAGCTACATCGGTGACCATTTTCTTGTGATCGGATCGGATACCATCTCGTTTTGGGCCCTTTCACCGAACGTGCGGCACGCTTGATGGTCGTTCGGTTCAATTTTTGCACGAGCTGTATTTTAAAAGCACGCAAACCTAGATGCTTCCACAAAATCTTCCATAAAGTGGATGATTACTCGAATTACCAAATTTGGGGCGATTATGTCGACTGAATATTGCAATATTTTGGTACCAAATTTTAACTATTTGCGCACGTTGTTTTAGAGTACGTCTATTCATTATGAAATTGCAAACCAACTTGAGTATATGGTAAATCAAGTAACAGCTTTCACAACAACGAACTCCGAAAAAAAGTATTGCGTTATTGAAAACCACACGTTTAAAAAACACCTGTTATATACTTCCGAACCACATTTAACTATACAAGTGCTTCGTGTACTTAAACGAATTATCACATCTAATCGTGTACACTTAAGCAGCGTTTTACATGCAAATAGATAATCTTCTGAGCAAAACCACCCATAAAATCAACGATTCGCTAAATTACATTTGAGTGTAGCGAAAGATGAACAAAGACAATTTACTTTTTAAACGAAATCAATTGTCAACTGTCACAAAAAAGTATTCGTTAACAAAGAGTTTTTCGTTTTCACGAATTAATGCTTTTAAAGCTGTGTTCGATTCGCCATTTCTCTGCTCGCTATCTTTGGGCACTGCTCTCTTGTCAAAAAATTTACATCTAAAAGCAATGACAAAGTTAGCGAGTTGAGTTAAAACAAGAAAGTATGCGGATACCGCATTAAAGTGGTATTCAATGCTACCAAGTTTTATTTTACATATTTTAGATCAGTTTTACTATTGTAAAAGGCTCAAATGACAAATGAAAATACAAATTTCTTTTTATTTTTTGATTTTAAAATTTTAAGACTTAAAATCATTTGTAATAGTTTATAGAAAACTAAACTATGGTGTTACTAAAACGTCGTTTGACTCGGGAAAACATTTCTCTACGAATATCGTAACACAATTGCGCATACGTCAGAAAACATGCTAGCGCAGGTTTGCAACACAAATGCTGTCTGTTTGTTTGAACACCTCGTCTAGTATGTTCGGTTGGCTACTCTCCAACGCTTTTTTCCACAAGTCCTTATATGGAAACTGCGAAAAGTTATATCTTAAGCACAACGTCAGAAACTCCGCATTTATTTACAGAGATGATTAATAGTCAAATAAGTGAACCTGTTCAAAAATTTAGCAATTGGCGTATTGTAATAATTTCCATTAACATTTCATATATGTATCTCAAATTCTTGAGATTTGACTAAAGTGCTGTTCATAAATTTCAAAATTAGCGAAATCAGTTTACAAATCACAGCACTTATCATAGAAATCCATTTTGAACCCCGTCACTTCTTTTTAGAAACTAAAGCGTAACGAGGCATACATACCATACAGTAATGGTTAATATGTGAGATATAATCATGAAATTTGGTTAGCGTGAGATTTTTTGAGAGTAGTGATGTTTACTAGTCTTTATTTCCCCAACCCAAAGATTTTTTTTCTCCTCGACTTTTTACCATACAATTAGTCAGGAAAGTTACGATTCCGCTAGGGGGGATAATGACCAGTTTTAACACAAAGATAGGCTGGAATGTTTTAGGTGACGAAAGTATTTTTATGCTCTTGCAATATGTTGCTACAGAACATAATAGTTTTTTTCACCTAACGGTTGTTCGTATCACCTAAAATTAGTCGAGACAGATATAAATGATCAAAAAGACAAAACGAGTTGAATTTTGAGTGACCGTCTGCCCGACGTCTGCCTGCCAGTGCAAGGGGTAACTCGTCAAGACTTTACACAAGCGTTCTTTGGTCGAATCGGGCGGACCAGTTCGTAGAAGGGCGTGGTCGGGCTACTACCACGCCCATTAAATACCACTATCGAAAACCTATAAATTGCCATAACTAAGCCGCAATAATAAGGGGCACCTGTAGTTTGAAAATTTTTAAAAATTGGGTGTGGTGTAATGTCTATATCTCCCAAACCATTCAAGCTCTATCACCCAAATTTGCACAGGAAAAATCACTTTGAAACCTCTTATGACAACGTGAAAATAGTGAAATCGGCTTTGCTCAAGGCAAATAGAGCAGAAGAAGCAATGAATATAACGGAGTAAAACCTTGAACGAATAGTATTGCAGTATGTCATTTTGTGACCAAAAATTGTCAAAATCGAATCAAAACTATCCAGCCCCTAGGTACCGAGTATGGGGACTCCAGTTCTTATTGCGAATTTTTGTCGATAATATCAGTCAAACTCTGAAATATATTAAAGAAATTTGGAGAGAACTCTCTTCTGATAATAATATGCCTCTATGCCGAAAATGGATTGCATCGGATCAATAATTCCCTTACTTGCGGGTTTCCGGCTGACTTTTTACCGCATGTATCGGTCAATATGTGAGTTACTTATTGAAATTGAAAAAGCGTGTTTCTCTAATAGTAATGTATATTTGTGCTTAAAATGGATAAAAATTTAGTACCTTAACAGTTAATAAGATAGAAATTTGATTGTAATTCATTCACGAGTTCCTCGAATAATGAATTTTGAGTTTTCTCGTAACATTTCATATAAAGTTTCCCCAACACCTGAAGGTATTTCTCCCGCTTTGATCCTTGCAAGTTGCAAGAGTATAAAATGTTCGGTTACACCCGAACTTAGCCCTTCTTTACTTGTTTATTATAATTTATATGCAGTGTCTAATAAGTTCAGTCTACTCTTAACAATGGCGTAGGGAGCTAAAGAAAATCGTATTGTGGCGCAAGGAATTATATGACCTTCTCAAAAAACTTAACAATCCGAAAACTGGTCATCTTCTGGCAACGCGCCAGAACAGATGAAAACCTTTCTATTTTTGAAAAAGTGTTTAATAAGCAAAACGACACAAGGCCTAAACCAGCTACTGGCTTAAAAGCAATATTCCTGATTTCATAGCAGCAGATGATTGGCCATCAGGAAGTCCCGATTTAAATCCATTGAACAACAGTTTGTGGTAAAAGTGGCCTGTCGAATACCCTCAAGAAATTTGGTGAGCCTCAAAACATATTTGGTAGAAACTGTGCTTAGCCGAATTGAGGCGTTGTGTGCAATCAGAAATTGAATTTCTTATAAAATTGTTGCATATCGCTATTTTAATATATGAATTGTTAAATAAAAATTATTAAAAAATGTACTATATTCTAGTTCAATTTTTATAGCTTCCTGAACTTGTAAGATATCTTATGACAGGATCAAGTACATTTTTATTGTGTAGCTGTAGAATTCATTTTTTTGTAATTTAAATTTATAACCTACCGATTTTCAGTACCATGATGTTTTTCAGAATTTGGCGTAAATATGGCTTTCATAAATTTTTGTTTGAGTGAACAGTATAGATGTAATATTCACCTACCGCTCTAATATTTTGTATGGCTTCTACTACAACTTAGAAGTTTTTCCTGCTCAGAAATCGAAAATTTTCAAATCATTTGTTACCATGCCGGTTGCCACTTTAATTGATATTTAAGTATTAAAATCAATTAAAACGACTCTATTTAATCTTTCCCACACTATTCATAAATACACAACTTTAAGCACGCACTTTGAAAAGTTGGGCAGCCCGGCAATATGCATACATACATATATGGTAGTATGTCTTCGTGTTGCTCATTCGACATGTTGCACAAATTTAATTGTTACATTCTGTCGTGACCGTTGTATGATTTCGAGCTACGCTTTGTGTCTGGTGCATAAATTGGCTTCTTGCAATAACAAAAACAACTTAGGTGGTGCTTTATGAATAACCGACTGACGGCTAGGCTCAAAAGTGAAAATTTCTGCCATTCGGCAGCAATTATGCCTGGGCATTTGTTGATTACCACATTCAAGTTTATTTGTTTCTATCGAAACTGAGGCATTCTTTGTTGTTTAAGTCTCAATTGCATTCGTGGCATTTACATTCTAGGCACTAGGAATTTAAGTGTGGCCGACATAAGTGTGATAATGGCCTTAATTTGAATTTAAAAGTCACCTTATAGATCGGACGCATTTTAAAAAATTATGTTAAGGAAAACAAAATTGATGAAAATTTCTTTTAACTGTGTATCTTTTAACTGCTAGTTAAGAGACTTGTTTGAGGCGGGGCTTATGAATGCAAGCCAGAAGGTGGAAACAAAGTTTTATAGCCTTGATAAACCATCCGTTTGAAGAAAAAAGCGCATAAACCCATTATGTCAACAGTAAAAAATCACCTTGGGCTGTGAACAGTTGCGATTTGTTGTAAACAAATTTTTAATCAAAAATTAATGTTTATTTGTTAATGCCGATGTTGGGATTCTTAATTATTATTATTTGTAACCTTGGTCCCATTTTATGAGGAAGTTTTTCATCTTCAAACACCTTACCTAGATTCGAACGGGCCAATTACCTTGTAATTGCATCAGTTAATTCAAGTTAAATATAGCTTTGGTTATGTATTAACATAGTTTTTTAAAACCCACAACTCTCCTCGGCGATTTTTTTTTTTGACTCGTTTCCTTGCACATTTGGCCTTTTTTTACTGAGAACTTAAGAGCTAATGAATGCGTATTGATTGGGCTAGTCATTGCAATGGCAACATAAAAACGATAACCTACATCACCAAAACTACATGCCTCATGGCTAGAAAAGCATATAAACGGTATATTCTCAGAGACACGTTTGTCACCACGTAATCTTTTGTAGCGAAGTATGTCTAACCTTGGAGAAAACCTAAAATGGCAGCGATAATCCAGCTCGGTGTTTGTTAGTAATACTGTTTCCAAATACTTACATCTTTGTTTAAAGAATGGACGTCATTGACATCTGTGGTGCACTAAGGTAACACTAGCAGTACTAATTACTCTACTTATGTAACAAGAAAGAAATTTATTAAAGGATACGTAAAATTTATTGAACTGTTCAGTGCAACTATCTTGTTGTGTGTGTTTAACCTTAAAAATGTCTAAACATTTTGCTTTGATATTTGACGATTGCCCCTCTTCACATCATCAAGAGTACAATTGACATTGAACAACCTTTATTACGTTTTACAGTCTCGTAGTGTGTGTTAAAAGACGGTTCCCACAGCTTTGGATATGTAATATAATCATATTATTTGTAAAGATAACAAACGGGAAAACACTATAAATTTTTGCGAAACATTTCAACACTCATTATTCGACGAAATCGTCAACGGAATATATACAAATTTGTATTACGCACTTAGTTTTAAATGCTAGGACAAGTTTTCACCCGATTTTACTCATTTTAGGCACAAAGATGAAGCTTTATAACGATAATACTTGTACATCTACTTAATTTTATTGAAATAGCTCACGTATTAACCGATATATGCGGTATCAAGTAAACCCGAAGATAGAAAATATTCGCTAAGAAAAGTATTAACCCGATGCAATTCATTTTTGAAATACTTGCATCCTATTTTCAGAAAGAGACTCTCTCCGAATTGCAATAATATATCTCCCAGATTGACCGTTATTTCAGGTAAAATGTTAGCACCAGGCACTGGGGTTCAGTTATTTAGTAACTAGGCGCTCGAACATTTATGGTCCGGTTTTGAAAATGTTTATACTTGAGATGGTAAAAATTGTTTGTGCAAAGTCTTGTCCTAATATTAGGTAGTAAAAATCCAGAAATCCATTATTTTTCCCATAGATTGTGTTATTTATCTGTATCTCGCGTTGTATAAGATCGGGTTCGGCTAAATGGCGTTAGAAAGATGGTATTTCGTACTAAAAACTTTTGACAGTTTTATGATTGGTTGATTTATTTTCGTTTGAGCGCGCGTCAAAGATGGACACTAGCAAAGAGAAAATAGCTATATTCTAGAGATTTACTTTAAGTTGTTTTTAACAAAACCGTTATATAGGTAGTGGGCGAGGTTATCATCCGATTTCATCCATTTTCACACTGTCGAAGGAAGTATCGAAAATATTTGGTCTGTGCATTTTTGGCACTGTTCGATTGCACCCATCTACAATACCAAACTTCTTATAGTGCACATGCGTACCAAGCCTCAGCAAGATATATTAATTTTTATTCAAGTTACTGTTTGCACGGCCGGACGGCAAAATGTCGGTACGAACCCGCAAGCAGCAGCTGAAAACTATAAAACCAAACAGAATAAATAGGAAATAAAGGGTATACCTTTAGGTAACCATATCGTCAAAATCGAAGATGTAAGATATTATAATTCACCACAGGTGTAAACTCGATTTTAGCACCAGGGTGAAAAATCGCTAGAGACTATTGAAAATTGCTACTAAACATTTATAATTTATACATTTAATACACACTCATACGTAATGTGAACATTACGTTAATCATTTATAATAAAATTGTGTTAGGGTAACGTTCCCGACATTCACAACCTAGTACTCTCCACATGTTTCACATTTTTTGGTTAGCGGTCATAAAGAAAAAGATCTTAAGGTATCACTTGCGTTTTAAGTCTAAATTTATACTGTTAACCTTTGTTCCACTTTTACCAAAATAAAATACCATTTTTAGCAAAACAACATTTTTATATTTACCTTATACCCCTAGAATAATGAATTGCGATCCTCTGGTTGACGTTTTGCACATCAACTCAATATATTAAATTTAGCTTCTTCAGTTGAGTTTATATTCCATTTATCTCATTAGAAGATGATTTTAATATAATTTTAGCTGATGCGAAGTAAAATATAGCAATAAAACTAAGTGAGTCTGTGGCCTATAATATAACTTAATAAAATACCAAATTTGATTGTAATCCACTTACGATTTTGTCGAATAATTAGTGTCAAATTGTTTCGCAACATTTCAAATATATAGTTTTCCTAACATCTGAAGGTATTTTCCTTGCTTTAATCCTGGCAATTTGCAAGAGTATAAAATGTTCAGTTCTTAAATGGCAGAGAAGTTTTATATTTATAAAAAAAACTGACCTCACTTTTGAAAAATCGGAACGGATTCTATCTTATACGGTTTGATATCAACAACTAAATTTAAAACTTTCCTTCCTTATAAGAATATGAAAGCCCAATTGTACTACTTTTGGTGAAGAACCACTCCTTGTCTACATTATTTCATTACGGTATATTCCAAGAATCAGACCAGCTAGTATACATATATACTAAATCTACGTCAATCAAGTTCGATGGACATATTGTAATTGGCCAATTTACGATATCTACTCCCATAAGAGTTGTGTTCAAAACTACCCAAAATGCGATAACTAATTAATAATTCCAGACATATAAAGGTCGCTTCAAAAATAGAACAATTGGTGTGACACCAGCCACTTTTAAACAAAATTTCATATTTCACAATACCTCGATTTGACCCAAATTTGGTTCGTAACATTGTCATTACTTATTTCTAAATTGGACGAAATAAATCGCGTCAACCACTTTTACTTTATAATAATGCAGTTATTAATAATTTTAATATTATATAATACAATGTAATAACATTTTTGTAGAAAAGTAAATTTCATACAAAACTATGAGTTTTGCAATTTTAAATGATTATTTTTCAGTTTTTTTTTACACGATAGCTTTACGTAATTTAGTATTGGTTATTATCCAAGTCAACGGTATTAATCCCTGAACATATTGTTCAGATCGGGCTACTATGGCATATAGTTGCTATGCAAACTGACGAGTCCAGTGACCGGTTACATTTTCAGGCTTAATTATACATATAGTTGCAATAAAAAAGTCACTTGTGAAGAGTATTATAGTTTCAGAATAGCTAAAGTTAACGTGTTTTCTTAAGAATTGTTTAAACCTTATACATCTCAGATATTCTATAAAAATTTAATAATGGAATAATTTCCACATCTCCTGTTGACTCATCCTATAAATATCAATAAGTAAGGAGGATGACACAATTAAACTTAGGGAACATATTTTTAACTTGGTAGCATATAAAATCGGTCAATGGTATACTATTTATATAATAATAGTAATTTTGCCCTAAAACAAAAAACAAAAGGTCTCTTGTGTATTAGCATAACATAAACTATCTGCTTACTCTAAACCAAATTTTGGGTAGAATAACATCAGCTACGTCTACTAGACAATATATACATAATGGTGTCCCAAAATTTTATTTCTTTTATTGGGGGTTATTTAAAATCACAGGTCTATTGCAACAAGCCGACAACCACGAGTGCTTTAAAAGAGCTTATTTAACGTTGCATCAATGAAATCCAACCACATTTATGCAGAATAGTCATGGATGTTTTCGACAAACGAGTGCGTATATGTAAAGAAAGTTGTGTGTTGTTTTGCCTAATGTATGTTGTTTTGCCCAAGTATTACAATCGAAAGACTAAAAACTGCTTTTCATATTTAGTTCCAATCTTGCGTTAATTATGGAACACCCTTTATATAAAGTTGCTTATAATCCAGTATTGGTGACTACTTTATAGATGCAGATGTTAATTTGACGTTAAGAAGTGTTTTACAATGAAGATTTTTTTACAGGCACCCTCATTAAGTATCAATACTCAGTTAACAAGAGTTTACTCATTTTCAACTTCGTACTCAATCAGCCTGCAATAGCTCGTAACTTGTTGAATGGAGCCTTTGTTGATGACATCAGTGACCATTACCTCATATGTAAAGATTGTGCCGGCCATCTGCAGCCAAGAAAATGTGGAAAAAGTGAAGGAAATTATATTATGAGACACTTATATTATATTGTGTGTTTCAGTGGGGAAAAAGAAAAAAGTTGAACATGCAGACAGCAATAATGGCAATAATTATATATTAAGTGTATATATTGACTTGCCGCCAAAATTAGTTGTCGTGTAATAAAGAAGAAACCGCAGCCAGACCAAGCTGTTAAGTCGAACGCCAGCTGCTCGCTGAACCGTTGGGCCTGCAAAAGATTAGTGCACGGTGAATAAATTCCAAACCAACTGTAGCAGTGTGCCAAACGGAGCAAAAATGAAAATTCTGACAGATAAAAGGGAAATTTTGACGTTTTTCGTGGTAAATCCGAACTCCCTAGAACGGGAGCTAGATAAAATTTTGACGACTTATAAATTTAAAATAACCGCTGCAAACATAACAGGTATGTAGGTATGTTATAAAATATGTTACTAATTCGCAATTATGTATTTGTTTATGTTATTATTTATTCCATTCATGAGAATTTGACGCAAATTGTCGTTTTATACAAGGATGCCGCGTCGGCTTTTATTCAGGTACGCCACTAAAAATCCTCTTGGAATATTCATACATATACGGAGTGAATAGCTATCCAAGTTGAATTATAAACTAACTACTAAAAACAATACAGCGCAAATGGCAGGGAAACATGGCGTAAAGAAAATAAAAGTGACAATGGCAAAAACATTGACATTTATTATGATTTTAAACGTAGCGTGGTCTTACTCTTATACCCACCTCAACACACCACGACGTGCTAGGTACGCTGCGCAGAGTCAACAATATCCGTTTACTGTAGTCGTTAACAGAGGAGGCCATGAAAAGTGTAAGGATGGTGCGAAAGATGGCGAAAAACAAGGAATACCAGAAAGCGGCAACAGCAACCAGGTCAACGCCGATATTCCTGTGAATAAGAAAAAACACACATCACTAGAATATACATATTCGAAAAATGGTGGGTGAAAGGTGCGCACTGGAAACTATTGAACAGCTGAAAGCAGATAAAGTACATATTATTACTGCATGATAATAATATCAGCGGAGCTATTTTGTCGTTAAGTAAACGCATAAGATGCACCAACTCGAGAAAATGTTCTCGCACTTCGGTCCAGAAGAGCATTGGAAGGGCCTATAATAAAAAAGAACTTTATTTAATTGTTACAATTAAAGAAATTGAGAAATGATAAGGAATGAAAAAAAAAGCAATATTCGTTATTCGATCACAATGGATCACAAATAATTTTGTATCTGACTTAAGCTATAGGTCATATAATCACCTAGTCCGATAATCTTATATTAAAATAAGTTTATCTAACACAAATCTCTTTACCATATACATTATATTAGTGCTGGGTTAAGGTGCCTACCCATAACCATAATTTTGTTACTATTTTTGCTGAATTTAGTAAAGATATATTCCATTGAGATATTCTTGTATGTGGTATAAACTCAAGCAAAGGAACGAAATTTAACATATTTGTAATAAAACGAAATAACAGGCGGTGAAGATAGCGTTGTATTTGGGGTGTTGGCTAGGGGTTAAGAAAACACTGAATTTCATTAATTTATAGCACCTATTGACCTAAAAAAACTAGAAAGTCTGAAATCACTATATTAGGTGCATAGAGGTTAGAGTAGTTTTCAGCCGATTTCATTTCAATTAACATATTGACCGATATATATGGAGGTATAAATTCAACCGGATCCCACGAAGACCGATTTTTTCAGCGCACTTATTTTTTATATCGGGGCTTAATAATTTATGGTCTAATTTCGGCCATTTTTGGGTAAGATATGGCACTCCTTTATTATATTAGAGGTAGGCGTGGTTGTAGTACAATTTCGCTCATTTTCATAAAGTAATATAAGAATATTGGGTTAGTATTATGCATCAATTTTGGTTGGTATTGGGCGACTACTTCCTGAGATATTAATTATCTTTTAAAAGTAGGCGGTGCCACGCTTATTGTCTAATTCTTTCGCTAGGACTCTTCGGTGAAATCTCGGATAGGAAATTAGCTTATTCTGGCATATTTATGTAGTGGTTGTGCTTTTAGTAGTTTTCAAGACAACTGTTATATGAGGAGTGAGCATGGTTATCATCCTATTTTATCCCTTTTCACAGGATATGAGGAAATGCTGGAAATAGTATAAAAAAAGTATAACATATACCTTGTTATGAACAGCCTCGATCCGCAGATAAAGTTGGTGAAAACGTGACGCCAACCCCACGCTTACGCAAATGATAAAAGCATCAGTAAATGACCTGGGATATGCCAAGGTTAAATTAATCCACTGCAAATGATAACATTCCGATTACAACTTTGTAAATATTAAAATCACTTTAAATAAGTTAGACACTGCATTATATCTTTAGTTGAAATTGACGATCACTTGGAACTGAACTCACCTCTACCACAGGCAAATACAAAATATTAAAGGGTAGAACTCTGCTTAAGTGTGGCCTTTCCCGACTGTATAGACTTTCCCAGAAGGTGATATTGTATTTGCATTGCGTTCGTTCTAAATTGCTTTTATGAAACGAATTAAACACAAGGAAACTGTGCTCCACTAAAATAAATGGTAATACACACATACATATATTTCCCTTCTGATATAAAACTTATTTCATAAATGAAATTTTTTACTCGCCAACACTGTACCTACCCATGGCACTGAACATAACCAGACAAGTTAATGCGTAAATGCGTGTCTTCATATTATATGTCGCATATATACGATAGGGCGGACGCAGAAATATCTCTTCGGTACGACGCCAGCTTCGCATGATAAATGGCCACTTTATGGCCAAACGCCAGAAGTACACATGCTCCAGCATACACACCACAAACAAAGATATTGTACCTGTCGGCATTAAAGATACTCGTATTACAACAGAATTTTGAGACGTACATATGTACGAGTATGTACAAAGGTGGTCCAGTAATTATTTAGTCTACGAAAGAAAATCGAAAACTTTGGAAAAATTCCAATTTATTTCTTAATGTTGTTGATTACAGTCGACGCAGCGATTCTCCATCTTCTTGAACCCATTTGAAAAATAAGTTCCTTTGCAGTTTCTAAAATAGTGTTCCTTGGCGGCTAAAAAATTTTCATTGGACTCATATTTCTGCCGACTAGTGACCTTTTTACGGTGGCAGCGGTTTGTAGCCTAGATGGACCAATTTGACCGTAGTGGTGGTTGGGTGTGTCAGAATGTGCCGATCCATTGTCATATACCTAGTTCTCCAATTACGTATTTATTCATGAAAGTATTGAATGTGCTCTAATTTTTGTTATTTGCATTTCATATATTCATAATTAGGGATCGGGCATAAAAACATCATGTGATTCCACTCTCAGGCTCTGTACCGAAAATATGCGAAAAAATATGGTAAAGGTTTTCATGTTTAATAAAAATCAAACGTGGCGCTATCTAAATCTACAGTCTACTAAATGTCGTGTTTTACTCAATGAACTCAGAAGCAATGATGTTTTCAAATTCCCAAAAATGGGTACAATCGATCAGTGCAAGGGAAGGGAAGGGTGAAACATCTACGCCTAAGTTATTTTCTGAAAATGAACTTAGAGATTTTTAACGTGATCAATTTAGGAATGATAAAGAAATTTGTCAGAGCGAAGTACGGAAGTATATTTTTGTATTGTAAAATTATTATACAGATCTAAAAATAAACGAGATAAAATCTTACAAAATTATTGATAGTTTCATGAATTATGGGCACAAATGTATCCAAAATCAACCTTATATCTAGAGCAACAAAACAACTATAATATATATTTAAGTTATGAATACAAGGTGTTCTCCGTTGTGAAAGCTCCCTCACAACCCAAATAATAATGCACTAATTTCTATACACCTGTCCATGTATACATTTTGTTTACACCCCTGAAGTGTGAGCGATGACATCATAGATCATCGTGATGACACGAGTCTCGGAATGTTCTTAAGAAATAATTCTTACGCATTGATTTGTAGTCTTATTATCAACAGAGATCAAATCATTATGGGCTGAACGACACTTACGATAACATCCCCATAGCCGAGGCTAGGACAGGTCTTCCAAATAAATGCACCTTCTTTATGTTGGGAAACAAATTCTACGACGCCAATGTGAACTTCGGTGGATAACAAAATCAATAAAGATAATTAATTTGTTTATAATAACTTTTGTCGAAAATTGCATTGGCGATAAGAAGACTTATCTCTCAAACAGTCTATGTTTATAACTAGGTTAAGTCGGATACTACCAGCCGTCGTATGTTTCATGCCGTTAGACACATCCAATTGAAAACCGTTTTTTTTTGCTACAGAGTTTTCATATTCATAAATACTAGATATTTTATAAATACTGTACAGAATAGTATTTCATGTTATATTTAGGTAGTTAATCGTTTATTTAAAAATGTTTTTTTATACGTCAACTTACCTGAATTGTGAAAATTTAAACCAGACTTGAACACAAAATATCCCACAGTGAAAAATTCCAATGTATTTAAAAGCAATATGGTCCCCGAATAAAGAGTATGTAGACTAAACCAAGTATAATGGACTCGTTGCACATCATTGGCCAATATGTTGGAGACGGGCAGCAAACCGAAAAATTGCGATATGAAAACCACTGCATAATATTTAAGAATATATGAAAAATCTATTTGAATACTTATTCATTCTACAATACATAATAATATTAGAGACAAATTATCTCTAACTGAAAAGTTTTGAAAGATATTCAGATTATTTTCAAACTACTCGTATTGTTGAGACAAATATCAACAAAAAGATGCAGAAATAGGTTTCTAGGTTTCCGAACGACAATCTCAAGCTGAATGACCGTTTTGGGAAATAAAAAAAATTAAGTCGGGATTTCTGTTTCCATTGAAATTTAAAAAGGATCCTTTGCAAGAGGTAAATATACATTTTGTTTTCTTAATTTCGATAGTCCATACCTTTAAAAATAACATACTAAAATTTTGAATGAATATTTCAAGCATTTACTGAGTTATAGCTTTATAAAGTGTAGCCACTCAGTTCAATCCGTTCTGTTTCTTATCTTTAAACGGGTTTTTACCAAAACTTATTTTTTCAAATTGGCTGTAGTTGGAACTCGTAAACAAATCATCCGATCTCGCAACCTGTTGCTACAGAGTATAATAGTTTTGTTCACCTAACGGTTGTTTGTATCACCTAAAACTAATCGAGTTAAATATAGGGTTATATATATATAAATGATCAGGATGAAGAGACGAGTAGAAATCCGGGTGACTGTCTGTTCGTCCGTCCGTCTGTCCGTCCGTCCGTGCAAGCTCTAACTTGAGTAAAAATTGAGATATCTTTATGAAACTTGGTAGACATGTGAGACGGTTGGTATTGTAGATGGGCGTAATCGGACCACTGCCACGCCCACAAAACGCCATTATTCAAAAACAAATAAATTGCCATAACTAAGCTCCACAACAAGATACAAGACTCTTATTTGGTATACAGGATCACAATAGGGAGGGGCATCTGCGGTTCAAATTTTTTTTTAAGTGGGCGTGGTCCCGCCTCTAATAGGTTTAATGTGCATATCCCCTAAACCGCTAATGCTATAATAACAAAATTCACTGGAAGCAAATGTTTTTAGAACCTCTACCTACAGGTGAAATCGGGTGACAACTCCGCCCACGTCCCATATAACGGTACTGTTAAAAACTATTAAAAGCGCGATAAATCAAGCACTAAACACGCCAGAGACATTAAATTTTATCTCTGAGATGGTATGAGATGGCTCTATAGGAACTGCGTTCAAAATTAGTCAGTGGGCGTGGTACCGCCCACTTTTAGGTGAAAACCCATATCTTGGGATCTGCTTAACCGATTTCAACCAAAAACCACGCCTACATCCCATATAACACCATTTTAAATTCCATCTGATTCTTTCACTTTCCACTAGGAAATCAGGCAACAATGACTGTATCGGGATAAAACTTTGCGTGAATAATGCGATTAAAGTATGCCACCTTGTGACCAAAAATTGTCTAAATCGAACCAAAACTGTTCAGGCCCCTAGGTACTGAATATGTGGACCACAGTGCCTATAGTTGACCTTCTACCGAAAATATCAGTCAATCCACAAAGAAATCTCAACCGAGTATACCATTTGACTTACCGAGAGTATAAAATGTTCGGTTACATCCGAACTTAGCCCTTCCTTACTTGTTAGTTTATAGTTATATCAATAGGTTGTTGCTCAAAATAAAGTAAACCATATACTAAATCTTATTAGTTATACAAAAATGTAGAGTTTTGAAAAATAGGTAAAAGCTCGTACATGACAAAATAATTTTAATAAAAAGAAAAACTACGAATGTTTCTCTTTAATGAGATACTTGTAAAATATATTAACAAAATTTATGATATTGGGTTTTCTTACCTCTCATATAACAGGTTGTATAAAGCTGATTATTATCCTCGCTTGTCATTCATATAGGTCACTACGATATTAAATAGACTAAAAATACTTTGACTTTACAAAGAAGTAACCTTTTTTAATAACAAATAAGGGCTAAGTTCGAATGTAACCGAACATTTCATACTCTTGCACTTGCACGGATCAAATCCGGGAAAATTCCTTCAATTAATTAATTTTATAAATACACGAGCATAACTCAAACACTGACCGACATATTGAGCATTGGGTTTGTTATAATAACGATCATTATATTTATGTAGTATATCGTAGACCAATATCACATATTTTCGGCATTAAACTATAGTATGTTCAATATTATCTGTTCAGTTAGTTTGGTTAAGATATCTTACATATTGGCCGATATATACGGTGGTAAGTCAAACAGAAGTTTGAAAATCTTATATTTTGTATATGAGAGATAGGAATAGTATTGAACCGCTTTTATTCATTTTTGCCATTACCACAGAAAAAGATGGTCTCTGAGTTTCATTAAGGTACTTCCCATACCATCACAAATGTATGCGGGATAAAGTCAACCAGTTCAAAAAAAGAACTGAATAGAATAGGTATCTTATGTTTTTTATGATTGTGCATAGGTAATCATACATATAGAACTGAGTAAATTTATAAAGTCATGTCTGGAAGACGTCGTTGTTCGAACTTAGTCGTAGTACAGTGAATGCCAAAAGAATACGTTTAGCAAGAGATCAATAATCGTCAATGGAACGTGAGGCTCGAGATAGATATAGAGCTGAGAGAGATAGAGAATCTTCAGTAGAGCGTGAGGTTCGCCGCAGCCAAGATAGGGATAGACATCGAATACATAGAAAAAGAGAATCATAAGCACGAGTTACTAATTCATGGGTAAATAAATAAAATTCTTCTAGCGTTCAAGTGTTGCACAGCCAATTGACAGAGATTTGATTAGATCTCTTCAAGATATTTACATTCTCATAATTGCTACATACAGTCTTCCAAAACTGCGATTAAGAGTGTTCCAGCAGATACTCCTGACCTTAATGTCATAATCCATGCAAATTTTTATCCTGTTGGATAACGAGGACGATACGATGCGCTTTCCACGAGTGAAGTAGCAGTGGTGATAGCTGGACAGCAATTTCTCAAGTTGACCCAATCGGTGGTACACCTCTCCGTAAAACAATGTCATGTATGAACTACTATTGCTACTGTATAATGACAATACGTAACAATTTCAACACTTTGCTTAGATATGTAATGTTAACAAACCAATATTTGGTAGATCAATATGCGAATGAACACCGCGACGGCATTGGGCAGTTGGTTACACTACCTTCATCATTCACAGGTGGATCTCGATATTTACACGCAAGAACTCTACAAGGTGTTGTTTACAATACTTACCAAGTAGCTTGCAAAGCTATGGGGCTCATGGAAGACGATTCTCCCTAGGAAAACACATTATCAGAAGCAGCTGTTTGTAGTTCAGCTACATCATTAAGATATATATTTGCCGTCATAGTAGCGTTTTGTCAAGTAACTGATTATGTTAATCTATGGAAAAAATTGCAAGAAAATATGGCCAGTGATATTCTGATTCGGTGACAGCGAGATTTAAACTCAGGTGATGTACAATATGATCAAAACATATATGACGATGCATTATTTGAATTGAACAAAGTAGTGCAATTACTTTCGGGTAAATCGATCAAGGATTTTGGGCTGCCGATGCCAGCTAATACTACTAACTCAGATTTAACTAACAGTGCCGAATACACAAGAGAAACATCATACGATCAAACGACACTTTTACAAAATATAGCTCAAGATGAACCACGATTAAACATCGATCAGAAAAAAGTATTCACTGGATTACTACCAACAATTGATAAAAATAAAGGGAAATTGTTTTACCTTGATTCCTCGACCTTGATGCTAGGACAATGCACGATTTGCGCAACAAAAATTCACCTATGGGTGGATGTACAATTCTGTTCTCAGGAGATTTCCGTCAAATCCTACCAGTTGTGCGTCGAGGAACACGGGCTGATGAAATAAAGCTTCCCTAAAAAGATCCAATTTTTTGCCACATGTCAATTAATCAGAGCTTAAAACTAATATGAAGGTTTCGTCTTCACGGCTATTTCCAGTAGTTTCCAGAGATGCTGCTAAAAGTTGACAATGGAGAGTTAATACAAAGGTAGGGAAGGATTGGCCTAGAAAACCATTGCGTTTTGATAGACAACATCCAAGAATTAGTCAACAATGTCTATCCTGACATTGATAACATAAGTTATAAGACAATATCTTATCCGATTTTGCACATTGAACATATGAATGTTAGGAAAAAGTTATACACCGAATTTGGTTGAAATCGGTCAAGTAGATCCCGAGAAATGGATTTTCACCTAAAGGTAGGCGGTGCCACGTCCAATTTTTGTATTGGCTCCCATAAGACTTATATGTGTAAAATTCAAAGATTCTGACTTGTTTGTTTAGTGAGTTATCGCACTTTTAGTAGTTATAATCAAAACCGTTATATGGAGAGTGAGCGGGGTTATCACCTGATTTAACCCATTTTAACACCGTCGGTAAGGGTTCTAAGAAGATTTATTTTGAGTGAATTTGGTTATTATAGCTTTAGTGGTTTAGAAAATATGCACATTAAACCTATTATATATAATTTTGTTATTGCTTTTACATGTATTTTTTTGGCAAGTGATCGGAAGCAAGCAGTAAAATGGCGACTCGAAGAGAGCTATAATTTCACAATTTTTAGGGTGTGTTTTGGCGCTACTGTCTCTTGTTAGCAGTTGTGTAGCAGAGGCAACATAATGACACTTTAGATTCTAAAGTTTTAAACAATTGGACGAAATAAAACTTTGACCGTACTATGGTTAAGGTTAGTACTCTACGACAAGAATAAACATATTTTGTTAGGGCCGCGATCTCTCAGGCTAAAGGCTTTTTATCTCAGTTAGTATAAATACAACAAGTTGATTAGTTTAGGTTTAATCTATTAAATTTGTAGGAAATAGCTGTGGATATGTCTGTCTTAATATACTGATCTTCGACTTATTCGTTTTTTAAAGGTGATTTCTCCGAAAATTATTGGGTTACAACAAAAAAAAAATCACTTAGCACATTGTTATTACAAATAAGATATGGCACCATCGAAACCTAACCTTACATAATACCGATATATTGAAGTAAAATTTTCGAAAACGCAAGTCGCAAATCAAGATCGTTAATTAATTTATTTTCAGAAAAATTCAAAATCACAAATTACATACTACCAACTAATAACTTTTTATATCTCACAAATAGTGAATGTGCAGTACATTTTATTAAAACTACATCTTAAGTTGGTGGATGATTCTCGTTTTTGCAAATAAAATTGGTTGCAGGGGGGACAATCAATTTGTGTAGCCTGAAAAGGATTAAGTTTGTCACGAAGTTTCTAACCCTACCTTCCGAGTTAACCATGTCCATCTATCCGTGCGTATATACGCAAACCATTCCCTCAGTTTTTGCGATTTCGATTTGAAACTTTGAAGAATGTGTCATTAATGGGAACCGACGATATCGAACCAGTATAAGATATAGCTATAGTATTTGGTCGATGAAAGTCAATAAGTATGGTAAACTTTTTTAATTGACAACGTATCTTCACGAATTTTGGCATAGATTATTATTCAAGCAGAGCTACAATCTTATTGTTTAGAGCGGCCTGTTTTTTCCAGAGTGCTAACTTTCAATTCTTTACTAATGATATTTATATATGACGAAAAATGGGCACCTGGAACTTGTACTAAGACAAATTACATATTTGCACAAATATTTTCGGTGGTCATTTAAAAGTTGTGCAAACCCGAAAATTATTCACGACAAAGCTTTGGGAATTAGTTTAAAGCTTCACAAATTGCATAAAATAAAATAATAATTACCATACAAGTATATACCGCACAAAAGTAGCTCACTTAAATGCACGGGCTTACGTGACAGCAATAACATCATACATACCTTTGGAGACGCAATTGTGGAATGTTTGATCCTCCAGCTGCTGCGACATTCCCGCTTTTACTGGTACTCACGCACGCACCAAAGACACGAAAGCAAATGCTAGAATTACCGGCGAAAGTTTGAGTATTTATCGCTGAATATAATCGCAGATATGTATTCGGCAGCCATTTACTCAGGCCATTTTACTCTAAATACATATTTATTTTCGTGTGTATGTAAGTATATCATGATACTTGTTGGCAACGACAATTTGCAAGCAAAATTTTTTTAATTTTTATAAAGTAAGGATTATACGAACGCGAATGGAAATTCATATTCTACAAAGTACGTACAGAGGGAGATTTAAACTCGAATGACAGATGAAAACACATTTGGATAAAGACCTAAAATAGCCCTAAAAGAGTAAACTCTTAGGTTAAATGTTTCTAGAACTTATAAGGTTTTTTGGGTGGTTTAGATTAAGGACTAAGTTCCTCCATTAAACAAAAAATTGAATTTTATAGTTATAAAAATATTTAAAGGAAAAAAATAAATGTATATAAAACTATTTTTTCTTCATAATCACACCCTAAATGCTACAGATCAGCTTTCAGCTTTACCAGTTAAACAAATACATTTAAGCAATTCATGGTTGGACTCTAAACCGGTAGATAGCATCGAAAGGAAGGGCAACAATGATATTCGAAGTAAGCAACACCAACCCGTGGTACTTTGAATACGGTAAAATTGCAATATATACCAATAATCTATACCAAGCATTTCGGGCCTTTCACTTTAAGCACTTGATTTAGTTTAGGAGACTGATTGCTGAATAAAGATCTAAATACAAAAGTATCTGAAAGCTGTCATAGAGTTGCATTCCAAGTTCCATTCTGGCATATGACGCATTAACTTGAGATCTAACGCAGTGAGTGCAACTGTTATATTCAGGTATAATTTTCCCCAGAGCTAAGAGCAAAGCTCGGAGTTGAAGTATGAGAATGTAACAGATAATCCTGGCACAATGTAATCAAACTCAATAAAATATTTCAAGAGATCTTACAGAATCAACAACTTTGTATTGAAATGAGATTAGCGGCTCAATCAATCCATCTGTCCTAATAACTAGAACGGATATATGATTGTAGGAACGGGGAAACGGAACCAGCTTGTTCCTTCTCATACCGAAATATTGAAATGTAACTCTACTGAAGGCATTTACATCTAAAAAAATATATATATAAACATTAAGTTTATCAACTGAGTTAATATGCGATATGTATCTTTATGTTTCTCGATTTTGTTCCATTCTTGTCACGATACAGCCATATTTATCAACATAATTGCAGGTTGATTGTAAAGTTTCTACGCCCGAAATGAAAAAATAATTAGTACGAAATATATTTTTTTATTCAATATAATCTCCCTTATCTTCAATACACTTATTCCAATGATCGTCCAATAATTTTATACCATCGCTATAATGACTTTCCGGAAGCTCTGCAAAATACCCGGCTACTGTGTAAAGTTTCTTCATTCGACGAAAAACGCTTTCCACGAAGGAATTGTTTCAGGTTTCTGAAGAAGTAGTAGTCGATGGGAGCCAAATCTGGTGAATACGGTGAATGCTCAAGCAATTCGGTAAATTTTGGTCATTGTTAAAACATCATTGTGAGCAGGTACATTGTCTTGATGAAAAATGATTTTTTGTGCTGCAAACCAGGTCTTTTCTCACGAATTTTTTCATCCAGCTGCTCCAAAAGCTGCAATAATATTTAGAGTTCATTGTTTTACCTTTCTGCAGATAATTAATCAACAAAATTCCTTTTGCATCAAAACTGATGACATAACCTGCTTTGCTAATTGTTGTGACTTCACCTGCTGAAGTATCTATTTAGTATTAAATTACTAAATTGCTTTTCTACCTATCTATTCTAGAATATGGTTCGTTAGTTTGTAGTCTAAGGTCAGAGTAAACAAGATACAGTCCATACAAAAGCAGTCTTCTTCGTATTTTTGTGCTCTGCATAATTTTAGCTAGGATTCTCATATTATAATCTTCTTCCTTATACTTATTAAAGAATGTGTGGATTGTAACAACTGTTTTGTATGGTTATGATTATGACACTATGAATAGACCCACAAGAGTGGGACAGCAATTTTCAAGAGTCAAATTATCATACATGGAAGTATATTCAAACCGGCTCAGTATAAATACTTATACTTAATAGAAACATGAAATGAATATTTTTTATATTCGCAATTATTGGTCGTCAAAATCTGAGAAGCATAGAATGTTATTTCGCCAATGGCAGCATAACCTCTTTCAAACGGGCTTACTTTTTCTCTTATCTCTTAAACTTCTTAACTCATTAAGAAACTCAATGTAAGTTTTTGAAATATCTTCTTTCTTAATTTTACATTGACTGTATAGATATTTCTTGTAACAAAAGAAGTTCTATCAGTTTTGCATTCTAAATAGTTATCTTAGAGCTCAGAAAAACCTCGCTACATCACCTTTTCGGCGCTTTAGATTTCCAAAAAAATTAGTTATTTGAGTTTATACTTTTTCATAACTAAGAGAAAAATCTCTGATGAAATCTCTCTAAATTGGTTTCTACAGTGACGTTGCTACAGTGAAGAATTCTGCGAAATGAGACCATAACTGTCAACTTAGCCACAGTGACAGAAGGCAAGTTAAAATTTCTAGCATGTGAAGAGGGTGACTAAACACTGAGTTGGCAACCATGACATCTATATCAAATCGCTTCATTATAAATAACCATTATATGAGCAAGCCTGACTACCTTTGTGCTAAATGTGACACTAAGCGCAAAATTTTCCAAAAGAATAAAAATACAGTATACATACTCGTCTATGTATGCGTATGTAAATATAATATATTATTTATATGCACTTTTGTTCGAAAATTTTTACATTTGGCCATAAATGAGAAGCCAAAACTGGAGTAAACATTTTAAGTGGTCCTTTAGCTGACATTGCATGCAAAGTCCGTTTAGTATGATTATTTTCTCCTTCGCCTTAAGTTATCCAGCCCACTTGTGAGCATATGTGTGTATGTTTGGCTTGTAGCTCTCCACGTTGAGGGTGTAACTGTTGAATATACCTTATGTGCACACATTTTCATACATACATATGATAACACACCTAAATGCATTTATACACTTGTACATTTGCCCTTGCATTAATACTCGGTCCGCATGTGTGAATGTGGTTGCAATTGCTGAGGCGTTGCTTACCATGTTGCTAATTAAATCGTGTGACAATCGCAGATAAACATGACAACAAATTCATCAGCAGCAACCTCTATAGTAACAGGGACAATGGTCCGCATGGGCTATACGCATAAGACACAGACACATATTTACATGCATACATACATACGTATGCCATTTGGCAGGAATTGGCCATTTCTCATTAGGAACCACAAGCGCATATAATAAAACTTCAACCAGAAAATCTCAATGTAAGCACAGGTGTATGTAGGGTGGGCGATATGGTTGTGTGTGTGTATGTGTTTGTTATTTATTTTGCTTTTCCTTGTTATGGGCGTGCGTTGTTGTCATATCGCTCGGCAAGCGTTTAAGAGCTCTAAGCACATAGATGTGGCAGACCTTTGGAACGGTTGGGTTCATCGAATTGCAGCAAAACCAATTCATAGGTGACAATGGTGCCTGCCATCTGCATACGAGTACAAAATAATAACAATAGCAAATAAGTAGAATATGTATATTTTTATTACAAAACGAAATGTACAACAACAGTAGTTCTAATTAGTATGTGTGTATGTAAGCTGGTTTTGCTTTAAACGCGGGTGCGATTTTAAATGTTTATACTCTTGCACCATTTTGCTACAGAGTGCAATAGTTTTGTTTACTTAACAGTTGTTTATATCACCTAAAACTAATCGAGTTAGATATAAGGTTATGTACAAATATATATAAATGATCAGGATAAAGAGACGAGTTGAAATCCGGGTGACTGTCCGTCCGTCCGTCCGTGCAAGCTGTAACTTGAGTAAAAATTGATATATCTTTATGAAACTTGGTACACATGTTTCTGGGTACCGTTAGACGGCTGGTATTGCAGATGGGCGTAATCAGACCACTGTCACGCCCACAAAACGCCATTCATCAAAAACAAATAAATTGCCATAACTAAGCTCCGCAATAAGATACAAAGAAATTTTATTTGGTATGGATTTTTTTAAAGTGGGCGTGGTCCCGCCTCTAATAGGTTTAAAGTGCATATCTCCTAAACCGCTAAATTTTTCTTAACGAAATTCCCTCAAAACAAATGTTTTTAGTGTTTTTAGGGTGACAACCCCGCCCACTTCCTATATAACGGTACTGTTAAAAACTACTAAAAGCGCGATAAATCGGGCACTAAACACACCACAGACATTAAATTTTATCTCTGGGATGGTATGAGATGACTTTATAGGAACCGCGTTCAAAATTAGACAGTGGACGTGGCACCGCCCACATTTAGGTGAAAACCCATATCTTGGGATCTGCCTAACCGATTTCAACCAAATTCGGTACATAACATTCTTCTCATATTTCTATAATATAGTGCGAAAATGGGCGAAATCGGATTACAACCACGCTTATTTCCCATATAACACTATTTTAAATTCCATCTGATTCTTTCACTTTCCACTATGCAAATCAAGCAACAATAATTGTTATTTGCGTGAATAATGCGTTTTAAGTATGCCACCTTGTGACAAAAAATTGTCTAAACCGAAGCAAAACTGTTCAAGCCCCTAGGTACTGAATATGTGAACCCCAGTGCCTATAGTTGACTTTTTATCGAAAATATCGGTCAATGTGTAAAATACCTATATTATTGAAATTCATATAATAAATAAATGAAACTCTCGATAGTAGAATGTTTTTTGTCAAAAATGGGTTGAATCGGATCAATAATTCCTTTAGTATAAAATTTTGCCAACACCTGTATAAAATGTTCGGTTACACCCGAACTTAGACCTTCCTTACTAGTTATATATTATATATAAATGATCAGGATGACGATACGAGTTGAAATCCAAGTGACTGTCTGTCCGACTGTGTCAACTGTAGGTAGGTAGGTAGGTAGGTAGGTAGAGTGGCTGTCCAATGACGCCCCTAGGCCTATAGGAGGCCCATTGTGATACCACCGGGACTAATGTACCCTCACTACATCGTCTCCTCTCTGAACCAAACTGTGCTCTGATGAAGTTCATCAGTACAAATAATTTTATATTAGCAACTTCTGATACGTCGTCAAGGAATCCACGACCGATAGTTGCGATTCTTTTCCTATATAGAGCTTTACATTCGCATAGAAGATGCTTTACAGTCTCCTCTTCTTCTACTTCTTGACAGCTTCTACAATAGTCATAGTGGTACACCTAGTCTACTGGCATGTCAATTAGACAGTGATCTGTTAGTACTCCAGTTCTGGCTAGTTCATCTGCTTCGCAGTTACTAGGAATATCACTATGTCCTGGAACCCATTGCAGGTTTATTGTGAAGTAGGATGTCAGATCCTCTAATAGGTCAAGACAATCTCTCACTAGCTTGGATGACACCATTGGAGACTTGAGTGATTTCAAGGCCGCTTGGCTTTCCGTATATATATATATGCTCCTTGTTGTGAGCACACTTTTTGTCAATATCACAAGGCTTTCTTTAATTGATGTGATCTCCGCCTGGAAGACACTGCAGTGGTCTGGCAAACGGAAGGCGATGTTGGTGTCTAATGTTGCGCAAAAGACACCACCTCCCACTCGATGATCCAGTTTGGATCCATCCGTGTAGATGCTAATTCCTGTATTCCTGTCCACCTCGTCCCTTTTCCACTCCTCTCTTTTGTGGGGAAGACAATATTGTGGACCGAATTTGGTTTCCGTTCTATTGGATTGTAGAAATCCGTGGTTTTGGGTAGGAACAGGAATATACTGAGTATCCTTGAATGCCCCTTGTTGCATGCGACTAGTTGGGAGAATTCCCTCAGTCTAAGAGCTGACTTTGCTGCCACTTGCTTACAGAACAGGTCTGTTGGCAGTAAATGTAAAATGACGTTTAGAGCCTGGCTTGGCGTTGTTCTAAGTACTCCACTAATGCATATGCTGGCTGCTCTCTGTATACTTTCCATACGCTTTACCGCGTATTTCTTTTCCATTATTGGCCACCATACCAATATACCGTATGTCATGATTGGTCTGACAACTGCTGTATAGAGCCAATAAGTTACCCGAGGCGTAAGCCCCCATTTGGGGCCCACCATCCTTTTACAGGTGTAGAGTGCTGTGGCTGCCTTCTTCACCCTAGCATCCAAGTTTTGGTTCCATGAAAGCTTCATGTCTAAGATTAGTCCCGGGTAGCTTGCCTACCGGACTACTGCCACGACCACAAAACACCTTTAAACGAAACTTTATAAGGTGCCATAACCAAATACTAAATTAAAATATAAAACTGTAATTTGACACAGGAGATCGCAGTAGCTTGGGACACCTCCGATATTTAGGTGATATAGATTTTCACCTAAATATGGGCCTACTCTACCAATTTTAACCACATTAGGAAATAGCATTATTCTGATATTCCCATGTCACAGTGCGAAAATGGGCGATATACCTATATACATATATATTTTAAAATAAGAGATGAAGATGCAAATTGAGCTTCGAATGTAGGTCCATCCCCACGACTGTCCGTCCACTCGTCTGTCCGTGCAAGCAATAACTTGTGTAATGAAAAACGTCAGAATTAATAATGTACAATTAGACCATTTGATTGAGGATATTGAAGGTGAGGACTTCTTACTCCTTATACACTTCTAACAATTGTTCAAAAATTGTCTCTGCTTCTGATTTTTTAGTTAACTAGGCGCCCTCCGCTGCGCTTCGGGACGCTCGCTTCGCTCACTCGCCGAGCGCGAGCTAGCTCGCTCTTATGTTAGTTGATTCTCGACAGCAGCAGAAAACTTTTATATATAATATAATAGAGAGATAAATTGCAGCTTTTTTATTGTCTGATTTTCTCATCTTTATATGAACAATCACTGGTAAAGAAAACATGCGATAAGAATGTCTCGTTACATGGTTTGTACTATTTTCTGTTCTTTTTAGTCGAAAAGTGTGCTTTATTTTTCGTCATCAGGTTAGCACATGCAATTTGATATACATTTCATTTCGGAGTTTGAAAACGTATTGACGCCAAAGTTTTTGTATTGCTTAAGCGCTCTATTTGCTTTGTTATGGCTTAAGGAAAATCACTATCGGTTAATATGAAAGCAGTAAATGAAGCTTATGAAGAGTAACAGCTTCCAATAAAGAATCCTCTACCAAAATCCGGGAAATTGCTAGTGTTGAAGTAAATGTATCTACTGTAAAAAGGGTGCTAAGGAATGTTCTATATTTGAAAATATTAAAACTAAACAAGTAAGGAAGGGCTAAGTTCGGATGTAACCGAACATTTTATACTCTCGCAAAGTCAAATGGTATACTCGTTTGAGATTTGTTTGTGGATTGGCTGATATTTTCGGGAGAAGGTCAACTATAGGCACTGGGGTCCACATATTTAGTACTTAGGGGCTTGAACCATTTTTGTTCGATTTAGACAATTTTTGGTCACAAGATGGCATACTTTAAACGTATTATTCACGAAAAGTTTTACCCCGATATAATCATTGTTGCTTGATATGCATAGTGGAAAGTGAAAGAATCAGATGGAACTTAAAATGGTGTTATATGGGAAGTAGGCGTGGTTGTAGTCCGATTTCGTCCATTTTCGCACTATAAGATAAAAATATGAGAAGAATGTTATGCACCGAATTTGGTTGAAATCGGTTAAGCAGATCTCAAGATATGGGTTTTCACCTAAAAGTGGGCTGTGCCACGCCCACTGTCTAATTTTGAACGCGGTTCCTATAAAGTCATCTCATACCATCCCAGAGATAAAATTTAATGTCTGTGGTGTGTTTAGTGCTTGATTTATCGCGCTTTTAGTAGTTTTTAACAGTACCGTTATATGGGGAGTGGGCGGAGTTGCCACCCGATTTCAATTATTTTCACACTATGGGTAGAGGTTCTAAAAAAATTTCCTTCCAGTGAATTTTGTTATTATAACATTAGGAGATATGCACATTAAACCTATTAGAGGCGGGACCACGCCTACTTTTTAAAAAAAATTTTAACTGCAGATGCCCCTCCTTAATATGATCCTGTGTACCAAATAACAGTCTTATATCATATTGCGGAGCTTAGTTATGGTAATTTATTTGTTTTTGATTAATGGCATTTTGTGGGCGTGGCAGTGGTTCGATTAAGCCCATCTGCAATACCAACCGTCTCACGGTACCCAGAAACATGTCTACCAAGACGGACGGACGGACAGACAGTTACCCGGATTTCAACTCGCCTCTTCATCCTGATCATTTATATATACATAACCCTATATCTAACTCGAATAGTTTTAGGTGATACAAACACCCGTTAGGTGAACAAAACTATTATACTCTGTAGCAACAGGTTGCGAGAGTATAAAAAAAACCACCACGATCATAGTTAAGTTCGAAGGGAAACATGACAACATTTTCCACCGGAGCACAAGGCGTGAAAATATGATTGGCGCTGTGTTGTCTTTTCAAAAGAAAAGAAATTTAATTTGGAAGGGTCTGATGAATACAATTATTATTTCCATCATCTTGGGAAAGAGGAACATTTTTTGCAACAACTACATAGTCGTGTGAGCGGTGTAACAGTGTGGGGAGCCATCTTCTAATATGGTACTTGGCACGATGCGTTAAAGCACCGATTCGCACTGTCCGGTTGTTTAAGTCCGCCTTATTTACGGGGCATCAATGTAATAGAAAAGGGTGGGGATGCTTAGATCGTAAAGTTTTCGAGTCTGGCCGGCAGTATTACACTAAATATTAATTAGTTGAAGATATTTAAAACGCTTGGTTATCCTTAATTATATTGGAAAATTGTACGAATCACTACCCGATCGGATCTTTGAGATTCCCCTAACAAGGGGGAATCGACTCAGTATAAAAATATAGTAATATACAAATGTTTATATTAATTATTAACTACATAAGTTTAGAAATATGTTTAAAAATACTGAAAAAACGATATGTGCTAACCTGATGACCTAAAAAATATAGAAAACAAGTAAAACACTAATTGCCGTTATATTTAGTAGAAAATTTATGAGTTAATAATTGTTAACAATTTTAGAATTGTAGCTTTTTTTAGTTTTAAGAGAAATCAACCAAAATGATTTAAGCCCAATTAAACGCAATGTACAATACTATTTATTTTACAAGTATTCGTTTACAACTTAGAGATGCAATAAGATATTTACATAATCTCTTCTAAGAAAAGTAAAACTCATATAAATAGAGCCAGCAAAACAACAAAAGAGCAGGCACGTAAAAAGACTCACCCCAAAGAGTAATCGTCTAGTTAGAAAGTAAAATTTCTTCCCCGATAAAGCCACCGTCGATGTTGCCATTTGAAAAATTAATCGTTCCACCTGTTGTTAGGAAAAAAGAGGGACGGATTTTCTCAGATGAAGGGAAAAATTTTATTGAATTATTTATTAAACTATTAAGTCAGCACGAATAGTGCATTGAGGACTTATAGAAACTTGGTATAGCAATAACATTTCCTAGGGAATACACCTATATACATATGAACACACATATTTACATGCACATACCAACTAAGCTAATGTAGATTCAGCGGATCCATCTACTCACCTCGACACACCAGGTCTTCGACGACACACGCCTTAACACACCTAAAGCGTCTTTTGCCTCGTCATTGATGGATGCTGCTGTTAGAAAAACAAAAGCCGTCCGTCCGATTAAGAAGAGTAGCGAAAACCAAAAGTAAACGTAATTAATTGGCCAACGCAATTTACTTCACAAGGCGTGCACATTCAAGTCGACGTTGGACATACGATATGTACGTATAGACACATACAAACACAGCCAGACATGAACGCGCGCAAAGCGTAAGGAACCACGATGAAATGAAAAGAAATGTGTGAAAATGTAATTAATGCAAATCCACAGCTTTTAGCTTAAACAACCAAATAATACTGTGTTGTAAGAACCTGAAGAGATTAACTGTAAATCTGAAATGAGAATTTCGACACTTTAACAAACATTTCTTTTTTAATTCCTCGCTTCTCACAAGAAATTAAAACAGTGTAATATTGTCGCTTAACTTTTCATCACACTAACATACAAACCAATGAAAATATTTAAAAATTTACCCAAGATTTCCGTGGCATCTCAGCATTATGAACATTTCGACATAATTATATGAATACGAGTATTTAACCGTTTACCCATTTTTGTTATGTTTACTAGTTGCTTTGATTTGCCAAAATTCACAAATTGTATAATGACGAATAGAACAACCAACCTACATGAACAAAATATACTGGCATAATCAAATCAATAATATAAAACAGGGTTACACTTTCCTGTTGTAAATTGCAATTTGTGTAGACACATTCATTGTGTTTGTAATCATTTTAAAAATTTTCAAAAAGCTCAACTTACTTAAAGATGTTCAGCAATTGATAGCAAACGAAATAGAGATTATTAGCACAGGAGAGTAAAATAATTCCTGATAAGTCCTCATCGACATATTCGAGCAGTTCCAATAACTTAACATAATGGTCTCTTATTTCCATGAAAATAGACTCAGGTACTTCCTGAAATCCAGTTTATTATTATAACTATAAATACTCATTGTCTCTTTGCATTTCATACCTTATTCAACAAATTATTTATACGCATTTTCATTTGCTCGAAGCGATAAGCAATGCCTTTGCCGATCATCATTATAAAGAGATCCATGTAGTTCCAAACGAAAGTACATATGAAATTCACAACCTACATAAATGTAATGAATGAAAGTAACGGAGTTTTAGAAGCGATAAATAAAGAGAAGTTTAGGAACTTAATACTCTGATGAAATCTTTTGGGAGGCCTGCCCAAACGTTTATGAACTTCTTTATGTCAAATAAAACGTCTAGTAGAAAGAAATCCATTATTTTTTTTTAAATTGAAGGTTAAAAAATCAAATAATTGTTCGATAACTTGTTGCCATTTTGAAGGTAATTACAAAATGCCACTCTCATAGCAACCCTTGTCTCTATTGGCAAAAAACTGAGACAGTCGATTTTCACAAGCTTCTCTTAAGGCGAATTTTTCACTTGCAAATTTATTCACCATAGAAAAAACCCTTGGTGGCAGGTATGGTTAAACCAAACTTCCAGGGCTTCTGGCGAGTCACCATCGATATGTAGATAGTTTTGTGTTGTCCTGATAGAATATATTTCCTCGTCTATTGGCAAAAGCTGGCCGCTTCTGGCTATTGCTTTCTTCAGAGGTCAAACTTTTAACAGTATACATAAATCCGAATTACGAGGAGAGCAGCTCTCGGTTTATGATTCCCTGCCAATCCCTGCAAACATATAGCAAAACATTCCTGATCGCCTATTTCGAACCAAAGGAACCAAAATTGAAAGAGATTGGATGTTACAACATCAGGACTATAAACGCAGTTCATTTTCAACCGCTGGCCTTGCATTTTCACCTTTGTCGAAGAAAACTATATAATATGTATCTCTTGGCAGGTCCATATTTGAAGCAAGCTCATACAATACTGAAGCAAGCAGTCCCTAAACCATTCTGAGAAGATTTTTTTAGTACAAAATCATATCCGAACGCACTTCCATAAGGCGTGATACAAATTATTAAAGCCATTTATTGGAAAAATAATAGATTTCTCTTTACTCCTTTTTCCATGGTATTCTACTTGTAAATAGCCGGCAGCATAAAACCAATCCCTTAGCGAAATTACAATTAATATTTAATATTATTAAAATATGTAAAGAACAAAGAAGATAAAAGTTTTACAAGAGATAGCAAACTTATAACAGAAAAACTTCTAACAATGGATGGATTTAATATGCCGCTATCAAAACGGTTGATGGCTGACTTATATCTAACCTCACTGTCACTACAGCAGAGTTTCCTCAACTATTTCTATAATCGAAAACATTCAACAACAATAATAACAACTTGAAAAGAAGCTTAAAGCTTTAAAAACTTCTTTGGAGAATATCTTCCAATTGGGGTTTATACGTAATGTGCACTGTCCATAAGAACAGTTATTCCGTAATCTGCTTTAACTACTGAAAATTCAACCTATTACCTATTAACTAGCAAATATAAGTTATTATCGGAAACAGGAATCTTATGAAAGTGTGTGTGCAATAAAACCACAAATTCACCCGACATCTATTTACTGATTTTGATCCAAAAAATAATACTTTAAATTAACCAGAATCGAAAACCACAACAACAGAAATGAACTGAGGTTGTGACCCAATCTTAATTTCTTTATTATAGATAATAAAGGAAACCTACTCGGATGTGCTCACTTTGACAATATCAAATGAATTCTGAAATACAGGGTGCACCTAAGTATCACCGAGTTTAAATAAAAGACCCAAAGAAGTTTGCAAGACTTGGATATTTTCGCTGTCTTTCTTTCGATGTTCCATATCTATTATATGTGACGGGGACTTATGTGATCAAGCGTGAAGAAAAAAATTGCCACTCACCAAAATAAGACTCCCAACTAGTGTGGTGTTGGGGAATATCTCGTAGACATAGTCATAATTTTTGTAAGCGTACTCCTCGAATGTAAAGTGAACTGTGCTGTTTTGTAGAGTGGCACATAAATTTGTTCTGCGATATTGTGAGACTACAGCTGATGCCAGATACAATAAATGTTCCACTACATAATTAAAATTTGTTGAAATATATCGTTTCCAAATAATAATTTTAAAATATGGGATACCTGCTGAGAGGAATATTATTGTGACCGCAGCGCGACGCACACGGGTCGACAAATCACGTTTAGGCGTTTCATATGGCTTGCGTATGAAGATCATTTCAGTGCGAGTCCAAAAGCGAATAAGCCGGGGCCAACGTTGCGCCAGCGAAAAAAACAATATCGTCGATGATTGCACGCATGTAAAAAACACAACGCCGACTGTGTAAAAAGAAAAGAATAAATAATAAAACAAATATGAGTAAATCGAAAATATTTAACTTGCTTATAAATCCAATTTGGGTCGACAAATTTAATAAACCTACCTAAATTTTTCGCGTTTACACCAATTCTAGCCAAATGCTTCATCATCGCCAAATTTAATGCAGAGCTTGCAATTAAAAATATCAAAGTGATCATCACCCGTAAGGTCCTGAATGAAAAGCGTACGTGACGCGGATTCGGCTGGCCAACTCCTTGAACCGGCATTAACGAGAAACATTGTCCTATAATCAGTACTATGGAAGACTTATGTTAATTAAAAATAAATTTTGATATGCATGTGTATATTTTCATACCTAAGCTAAACTACTAACTGTGCGACTTAATGGTTTTGGGCATAATAAAAAAGCAAAACGAATTTACGAAATCCATGATTTAGGGCAGTTGATCTATTGGAATCGAAAACCTAACTAAGCCGGAAATTAAGATACAAAACGGTAATTTGGCACAACGAATGGTTTTAAGGAAGGACTCTTGTGATTTAAAACACTTTAAAAAGTGGGTGTGGGCTCCTTAATATGTTTATTGTATATATCTCCCACACCACTCAAATTTTATCAACCAATTTTGAACAATACAATTATTTTCGATGCTTCCAATGACAGTGGGAAAATAGAAGAAATAGGAAATTCTCTCTTCATATAATATAACGGTTTTGTTAAAACCTACTAAAAGTGGGATAACTGACTAACTAATCATGTCAGAAGTATTAAATTTTACACTTAAGACGGTACAAATGAGCTTTATAGGCGCCAATATCAAAATTGGTCAGGGGGCGTGGCACCGCCCAATTCCAAAATTGTGAAAATATGAAATGATCGGTTCCCCGAACTTAGCCCTTCTTTAGTTGTTTATTCTACCATAATTTACAAAGTTGCAAATTTCAAAGTCGAGAACTATATTTCTCTGTTTACGCTCATTGTTTAGACTCACTTGGACCTACAGCTCGATGAAAGATGTCCAATCTACTATAATCGATGCGCTCGGTCGGTTTTTTATAATGAAAATCATCTTCCTTATATGTAAAATATTCAATTGGTGTAAGCCGTCCAGTCATTCCTATCGGATTCATCACGTCACTATCCTCTATATTCTCCAGAAATAATTTTTCATTCGGCTTTCCTAGACTTTTATTTTTAATATTTTCATTTGTAGTTTTTGACGGTAAAATTTTGTTTCTCTGGAAAGCCTGATCATGCTTAGACAAAATTTCACGTAACTTATTTCGGCTAAGCATTTTTATTCAGGAAAGCAGCCACGGTTTTCAATTATTTATATTTTGCTATAATAATTGCCAAAGTACGAGTGCATTTGAGAACCGTAAATGAGACACTAATACCAAATGCTCAGCACTGGCAGTATTTTGTATGTTTTGGTTTTTCAAAAACAAGTCAGGTACATATGGGCGGGTTTATTAGCCCGTAAGTGTGTACTCATTAACATGTTCATACCCAGTCGGAAATAAAAATAATAATACAATAGTTTTCTTAGAAGGTCTCCAAACCAGTAGCTAAATTTTGTGTTTCTGAAGTTTTTTGTTAGAGTGTTATTTTCCAAATAACCGTTATATGCGAGCTGAGTGTTATTTGATTTGATTTTCGTCCTTCCATTTTGTTTTGCGCCTCAAATAGCTGTTAAAATATGATACAAAAAACGAATAAGTAAAATAAGCAACCTGGTACAAAAATATGCAATCAGACAAGTAGATATTGATTAATACCTTAAGATTTTGCCAGTGTGAAATCGTAAAGCACATACATATTCAATAGTTCTTTGAATCATATAGAAATGAAAATTTTATAACCGACTTCACATACTACTAGGATCAAAAAGTAAGTTGAATTTGTTTATAAAATGTTAATTCGTTATTTATTCTTTCATCCTCTTCAAAGAAATCACCGTCCGATAAAATGCACTTTTGCCAACGCCGTTTCCAGTCCTCGAAACAGTCGGAATAGTATTTTTTCGGTATAACCTTCAAGGCCTTATTCGATTCGATTTTTATCTTCTCGATCAGGTCAAAACGGCGTCCCCGAATTGGCCTTTTCAGTTTTCTGAATAGCCAGAAGTCGCACAGAACCAAATCAGGCGAATAAGGTGTTTGCGGAACGATATGAGTCCAGTTTTGGGAAAAAATCGCGAAGAACCAATGACTTGATGCGTTTGAGATACAAAACACTCTCTAAAATAATTTGGGCTGAGCTAAAGATATGCCAACACTGTCAACGAAGTCTCTAATTGTCAATCGACGATTATCAAACACCAAATCTGTGATTTTTCAGACGTGGCCGTCCTCGGTTCAGTTCTTAAAGTTCGCCAGAGCGTTTCGTCTTTAAAGCGTTCTCGGCCTGCTTTGAACGCGTTTTTATACTCTCGCAACTTGTTGCTATAGAGTATAATAGTTTTGTTCACCAAACGGTTGCTTGTATCACCTAAAACTAATCGAGTTAGATATGAAGTTATGTATATTATATATAAATGATCAGGATGAAGAGACGAGTTGAAATCCGGGTGACTGTCTATCCGTTCGTCCGTGAAATCTGTAACTTGAGTAAAAAATTGAGATATCTGTATCAAAAAATATTCATTCCGCAAACAAAATTTGATGCAAGTTCCATGCTCATAAAAGTCAACCATTGTAAAAATCAAACAAATTCACTTTTCGTTGTTAACAAGAACACGTCTATCTTGGAGATAATTAAACCTTTTGACAAATATTATAGACATTCCTACAAATCTAGAAAAAAATTACTTGCCTTCCTAATGTTCGGTAATTTTACATGAGAATTTCACCTTACTTTTTGATCAAAGTAGTACATATATAAGATATTATTATATACTTGAAGTGTGAATAAATAGGCAGGAAATCGTTAAGTAGTGTAAGAATTGCATAGCATTTCAACGAAAAATATCATTATTTAACTAAGTTTGAATATTGACGTCACTCTAACGTCGATTACCCCCAGGCTGATAAAAGAATGTAACGGCATGACGGTAAGCACGACTACGATTTTTTTTTGGTTATAGGTCAGTCTTTCGGCTTCAAAAAGACATATCTTCAATATGTTATTCTGGCAGTAAGAAAAACATTTTTATACTCTTCCAACATGTTGCTACAGAGTGTCATAGTTTTGTTCACCCAAAACTAATCGAGTTAGATGCAGAGGATCCGGGACTATCTGTCCGTCCGTCTGTGCAAGCTGTAACTTGAGTAAAATTTGAGATATCTTGATGAAACTTAGTACACATGCGTAATTAGACCACTGCTACGCCCACAAAACGACATTGTTCGACTACCAATAAAGTACTATAACTAAGCTCCGAAATAAGATACAAGGCTGATTTTTTGTGTTTAATGTGCATTTCTTCTAAACCACAAAAGCTATAATAAACAAAGTCCCAATATACCCTGTATAGTGATTTCCAACTTTCCATCTGACTATAAACCGTTTAGGTTGGTCAAAATGTGTAATATCTTAATGAAAAGTAGACAAGTTTTCTTAAATTATATTATTATATATTATAAAATTATATTAATGTTTTAGCGGTAAATATGTAAGGATTTGGAGTAAGCCTTGGTACAAGCCTTTTATCCACATAATTTTCACATAATCTCAATATCTTAAATTTATGATTTCATTATAATCTTAGGTGATGCGAATACAACTAAGGGAGTCTATGACCTTTATGAAATACTAAATTTTATTTTAATCCATTCGAGATTTTGTCGAATATGAATGTTAAATTCTTTCGCAATATTTTTGAATATAAAGATGTTTTCCCTGCTTTGATCCGTGCAAGTTGCAAAAGTATAAAATGTTCGGTTACACACGAACTTAGCCCTTCCTTACTTGTTTAAACATGAATTTAATTATTATCTGAACACCAATTTAAATTAATTTCTTCGCAACTATTTACGAGTAAAAACCAACGATAAAGCGACAGGACGGTTTCCGCCTTCACTTTACATCCACTTGTGCATAATCATCTGATGTCCGTAAAATCTTCTAATAATACATACATATATATATATGCAATTAAACTGGCGGCTAACTAATGTCTAACAATTATGTGGATTGTCAATTGATTTAAAACAACGGTATTTGACTAAAATACATTGGAAAACCTATAGAATTCATAGTTTGTTTTAAAATCTGGTTGTGTTAATTGACGTACTGTATACATACATATGTACATGTAGGCGTCATCAAAAACGTGAGCTCTGCTACTTTTGCTATCTAAATAATTTGACTAATAAATAATAAATAGGTACTTCAAAACCACATAATTTCTAGATAAGCACCTGTTTTAAATTACATCATTTATTTTTGAGTAAAAAAAGGTGTTAAAGGGCGGACTGAAATCAGGAAAGATATTTTAATGGAAACAAAAAATTAATATTTGTTTGATTTGTTGATACTTGAGTAATCTATTGTAAAGTCAAATAATCGCGTTCAATTCAATATGGTCTTATATAAGTCGTAACTTAAGATGTGATGCGATTTTGTAGTAAACAAGAAAGAGAAGTGAGGTAATCGCACCTCATACATGTGTACGACTATTATGTTAACTTTACCACCGATTTACATTTTAATGCGTTTTCCTTTAATGGCTTATAGCAATTTAAACAACCTTTAACAGAACTGTTATTTGAGAGGTAGGTATGACAACTTGAAGAAATAACGTGCAGTCATTCCCAGCCCATTAAGTGGCAAATTTCGTCACGTTATCTCGGTTTTTACACAAATTGTGCATTGCACAGACAGATGGTCGAATGGATAATCGCCATGTTGGTAATTTTGATAAACATTGTGCTGTATATATTTCGATTACTTATGATATAAAATAACGTTTAGTTCTCTTAATGTTTCATATTATTTGTCGGTGACTTCTCCAAGCTGTGAAAAAACGAGTAAAAGAAATCATCCCTACACCAAAACACCCTTAATAATAGGGTTACGAAATGGTCAAAAACAAGCTAGCGGTTTTGTTTTTTGTTTGGGTTTTTGTTTACCTGTCGTTACCCGGGCGACCAAATATTTGATGTCATTAATGCTTGACACAACCAGAAAAATTAAACGCGCACAAAATAGCACGAATATCCAACACGGGTATTTTTTTAATGATATTAAGAGTAAAAGAAAAATGGAAATATCCGAATTAGTGTCGGCACGTAAATTTCGGGAATTTAATACGAAACAAAAAGAGGAGTTGTATGAAACTTTACTACAGTTAATTGTGTCCATAGAGGAAATACCCAAGAAGTCTCTGCGCCGCACTTTGGAAGTCACATTGGCTGTCTTGCAGTACAAAGGCGATCAGGTCGCCGCCTTACGGTCACGACTAGAAGATAAAGAGGGCAGTGATGGTGAGAAAAAGCAATAAATAATTGGCATTTAAAAATTAAAAAATCTGCGGAATTTGGCTGATTTTTATAGATGACTCACGTACCGAACGGCTGAGGGATGAGAACGAAAGACTTAAGGTTATGTTGGAAAAACTAGATGATGAAAAGTTAGAGCTGAAAGCCAAAGTTAAGGAGGTATTAAATTGGCGCTTAGGCGCAAAGATATACTTAATAAAGTCTTTAACTTTGGTTCTTATATTTCAATAGCTCACAGAAGATATTTTTCAACTCCAAAGGCGCCTACAAGAGGCCGCTCAATCAGCTGCCACTGAGGTTAGCGACAAAGACTCTTCCGATCCACTGTCAGAGTTGGACAAACAAGAGGATCTACTGCGAAATATCAATTCAAAAAATAAGCACATAAAACGTTTACTGCGTGAAATAGAGGTTTGGCAATTTCATATAGAATTCATTGCATAGAAACCTTGCTCTTAAAGCTACGTTACAGGCGCTTCAAAATCAAAATATCGCTCAGACAAAAACCATCATCGAATGTGAAACAGAGTTGCAACAAAACAAAACGAAGCTACTACAACTTAGCGCTGATGTAACACTCGTCGACAGTGAACGGAAGGCGCTAAAAGAAACCGTGAACGAGCTGAATATTGAAATTGCACGCTTGGAAGGCAATATTACTTATCTTGAAGAGGAACGTGAGAAGAGCGAACACGATTTGAAGACTTTCATTGAAAAATTAGAAATCAAAGCGCAATCTTGGAAAAACATGTTGGACGCAAAGGAAAAGGAAGTGAAAAAGTTACGTACGCATCTGGAAAAAGTCGGAGAGACGGCAAGTCTCTCAGAGAATGCAACACGTTCTGGCAAGGAGGATTTGGGGAAAAATGCCATTAACAGCGATACTGATAAAGAGACTACCAGACTTTTACATGTAACTAGAATAACCCTTTTGTGTATAATCAGTTGTTTTAATGCAATAGGAGAGGGCAAAACCGTGCAAAATGCTATTCTTTCTAACGAAAAAGCAAGCATTGCAATTTCTGCGTAACCTTTGCCACATTTCAAATTGTTTACTTTCTTTTCTATCTATCTCTCTATCTCTGAAATTTCTGGTCGTATACGTTAACGCTTCTTCCTAGTCCTCAAAGTAGGGCTGCAAGGTTAAGCCTTCTTAACCACTCAAATTCTGTTAAAAATGCATTGAAATTTTGTTGAAAGTAGCATTTATGTTTCCTTTTCTAAAATGTGTTGCCTAACCTATCGTATGATTTTATGCCTATTCTCTTACAGGCCCTCGAATCACGTGATAAACATATCGAATCTCTTGAGGCCAAGATTAAGTATTTGGCCGAAGAAATGTTGTCGTCCACTAGACTAATGAATCAACTATCCGCTGAAAAGGAAGACGCGCGCAATCCAAATAAAAGTCGTGCTTGTTGCAAGACAATTGAGGAATCACTTCAGGCGGCAAATGAACGTTGCCGCGAACTCTCCGAAATGTTGGAGCGTAGTGAGGAAGATAATGCATTTAAATCCAAACAAGCTCTGCAAGCGATATCAGCACTGGATGCCTACCAGCGTGGTGAGGATGGGCTAGTGAAAGCGTTACGTAAGTGCACTGCTCTGGAGCAGAAGGTAATCTCACGTGACAAACAAATACGCGCGCTTATTATGGAGCTCAATTCGATGCATGAAATAGCACATGAAAATGGGATATTACGTAGGCGTCTGAATATTCCTGATGACATGGTAATATCAGCGAAAAACTTGGTGGCGAAAGAGCGCAACAAGGAAAAAATTATCGAAAGATTGACGTTGAAGCTGCGCGCCTCGGAGGAAATGCGCCTTCAGCTGAAGTTAGACAAGAATGATTTGAGGTACAAAATGCAGTTCCTCGGAAAGTACTTACTATTTTTAATTACAAATTTAACGACAGGAAGGAGTTGTTGGAGTTACAAAAGCAACTACAAAAATCCACTCAAGCTATGGTTGAAGAAGATACAGCTACATTGGACAGCATGCACAATCCTAGTGAAGTTGGCGAAGTTACAGACAGTGTAAATGCAAAAAACGACGAGAATAATGAGCAGGTGAAGATCTGCACGAACTGCAAATTGTCGCTCGATGTGAGTACTTAAATAACTTTAGCTCTTGGTTTTCAAATATATATATATAATATACCTCTAACAGATTCCAGATGAATCCAACGAGGTTATAGCCATCAGTCAGCTGAAATATCAGGATGTACTTGATGAAAATGACACATTACGCACGGGAATGATGGAGATTCTAGAAAAACTTCGGGAATATGATGGTACAATTTTTGCTTTTTTCAATGAATGTCTCAAGAATGTTTATACTTCAATTTAGCTTCCTCCGACCATATCACCATCGACACGGAAATGCTCTACCGACTTCTCGAAGCTTTACGCAGTAGTTCGGTGCCAAATACTCCGAAACGACTACAAAATGAATTGCAAGCTTTGAAGGCACGTGAAGAGGCTTTACGTATTCTTATAAATGAGCAGCCACAAACACAAAATCCGGCTGCCGAAGAAACTGACGAACTCAGCTCTGTGGAAAGCATACGTGAAGGTAGCGAGCTACGCAATGGCTACGAAGAAGATTTAACTCTTAATTTACCCAATCCTATGGACTCTTCCACACGTCCAACGACGCCGAACAAGAATATCATACAGAAAAAGCTGCCAATAATAGATGGAGAATCACCAGTATATGATTCCAAAATACATAATCTCGAAGCCCAAATATCCGAATTGAACATCTATCGTCAGGGGTTTGAAGATCTGCAAGAGCAAATGAAAGCAAGTGACATCGAACTGAAACAGCATTTGGCTAAACTGAGTAGACAGCTCATCAGCGAACAGCTAGAGCTTAATAAAGAAAAATGTTCTTATGCTTTCATGCGCGAGGAATATGATAACACACTCAGCGAAGCCAAACAAAATGAATTGCGTAATATCGAACAGGTGGTAACGTTACAAAAGGAAATTAACGCTCTGAAAGACAAATTGACTCGCCTCGAAGTAGAACGAGCACAACTATTGAATGCCGGAAACATCAGCAAGGAAGACTATTTACAAGTGCAAGCAGAGAATACAAACCTAAGAGCACAACTAGCATTTATTGTTGAACAACTTTTTGCCGGCAAATTGGGCGACGAACTTCAAATCCCGGATATATGTTCTGATTATGGTATTATAGATGAAAATCTACAGTTGGACTTTTTAACCTTTGGAGAGTATCAAGATTTACAATTGTCGCTGAAAGAAGCGCTGCAGCAACGAGAAGAATCGCTGCGAAAGTCAGCGCAGCTAGAGAGTTTACTAGAGATTGCACAGTCTCAAATTCAGTCACAACAAAAGTTATTGAATGAGATTACAGACAACCACGTTAACCTACGGCATCTGGTCGCCGACCTACAGAGCAACACAGAAGAAAACCTACTGTTGGCGAAAATGCAACGAGAACTCGACAGATGTAAGTACATATACTGGTGATCACTGCACCATTATAAAGATTTGGTATTTGCAATATCCAAGAGCATGCGTACACGGACAGCTTTATAGCTACATTGCTTCAGAGTTCAATATTTGATTCTCCTTAATCTATGCAAACTTTATGAATCCAAGGGTTTGAATGCAATATCCACTGGAGAAACACGAAGCAGAGTAAGACCTGCTCTCTATTGAAAATATCTAGATTTTCGAGCCTTATCTACTTTCATGCAGATTGTCGTATTTATGTTACAGTTTTGGGCTAAAACTCATCTTACATTGGATCTCTCTTTTTACTTAAAGCTAAACGGGAGTTGACAAATTTGCATTTAGACTTTGACCAACTTAAACAAAGGTGCGCTCTGTTGGAGCGTGATATCATCGCAAAGGAGCAAAAGTCTGTCAAACTATTCGAACGCTTTCAAATGGAAAGTCATGCCAAGGAACTTAAAATTAGGTAAGATTTTACAATCAAGCTTCAGAACCAGTTTTAATATAGTAAACAATTTACTAGATTTTTGCAAAAGTCCCTTTATGCTCTGCGGGAGAAGTATGCCAAATTTACACCACTTATCTTCCTGACTAACTATATTTTTGCATATACCAAATTTGTAAAGATGTCTCTTCGAAAAACAGGAAATAGTAGAGAAAATGACCTAATCGAGTATGTTAAAAATTCAGTTATTAGTAAAATAAAAACTGAGAGTGGAGTCCCGGATGAGTCACAGAATGTGATTAAGGTATGATGTAAAAAGAAAAACTCATAATACAAATATATTTATTAAATGTAATAAAACATCTTCAGATCATTAAGGCAGAAACACATTGCAAGGTCCTGGAAGGAAGCCTACATGATCTGCAAAAGAGGTATGAGTCCCTGCAAGAGGAACTGGTGGAGCAACGCTTAAGTTCGGCAAGAGAAACAGAGCATTGGCAAACAATATCAGCACTTTTTGGCATAGATGAAAAATACACCAGTGCAGTAGTCCCTGCTGCTGAGGAAATCAAACAAGGTGACAGTAACATACCGACGCAGAAAAATGTAGCCACCAATACTGAAGCTCCGGTACCAGCTGAACGTAAACTATCAAATAGCACAACTCCTAACATCGTGAGTGGAAAATTAACCACGGAAATGTTAGATAAAAATCTCTCACCAATCGGCTCGCCTATAAAACGTATACAAGCGTTAGATGCCACAACACAAACCTGTGTGGTAAAATCTCCTCGAAACTCGGGTGAAACTGGTGGCGAAGATCATGAAACGTCCGAAAAAGACATTAATTTAGGACAAAGTACGAGTAAGCTAGTATCTCAAGAGGATGAAGATAAAAAAATCAAACCTTTTATCAATGTGGTGAATAAAGGTGCTATAGACGCCATAGTACAAACACCTTTTGGAAAGATGGAATGTCAAAGTGTACAAACCGATACTTCACTAATTATTGAACCAACAAAACCTCAAGACGAAATCTCGACCAAGGAGCTTCAAAATCGAATTATGGAAATGCAAGAACAAATGAATAAGCGGGATGTTGATCTTAAGGAGTACAAAAATGCGTAAGTTTCTAGTTTAATAAAATTTTCCAAAGTTTTATATACCAATTAATTCCGATAAGACATAAATCCGAATAATTGTGGATTTTTATTTGACAGTCATATGCAATTCAAAAAGCTTTGACTGAGTTTTAGACCTGTAGAAAACCAAAATAACCACTTCTTTTGTAAATTGATTTCGTAGAATTGGGTAACGAAAAAATTTCTCAGTTATCCCATTTGTGGTACCTACGAATTCGAACAGAAGAATGACCGCTATTGGAAATTTGCTATCAAATAACAAAGAGGTAAATTAAAACACCCTTAAGGTGACTAGAACTGACTGAAGAGAGTTCAAGGCCAGTCAATGATATAGATATATCGTTTAACTTTTCGCTCCAAAAAGGGTTAGGTCCTCAAAATAACAGGTCTTGACCGGATAAATCCGGATCCGTAAAACCGGCTGTTATGGGATTTGTTTTAGGTAGGTGTAGCAGGTTAAATTCCTACCTGTCCAGAATAGACCCCGACATACTGAACGTATGTCCAGCATGCAATCCACTCAGTTAAGAACCCTTTTCCTTTGGTCCGACCCCGTTGAAACAACTCCTTTTCTGGACTTACCCCTAAGTGATTTCGAAGACAAACATAGACTTAAATTTATTACACTTTACGTTGTTTCAATTTCCAGACTTTCGACAGCTAATAAACGCATTGAAGAACTTCAAGGAAAGCTTGATATTTGTAATTCTTCAAAGCAGCAAGAAAGCGAACCCAAAGCAGCTGCTGAAACAGCCTCGGACTCGAAGAGTGATATCATAGAAGTAAGTATATATATTTGTTTGTACGGTCCTCCTTCTATGACTTCTATTTTCAATAATTTGAATTTGAATTCACAGAAAACCATAGTTTCATTCCATACGTTACTTGGTGAAAAAGATAAAGCCATCAGCAAATATCAAGAGCTCTTACAAACTGAACGTGAGCAAGTTAAAATTACCACCGCGAAACTCAACAAAGACATTGAAGATCTCAAGAACACTATCACGAATTTGAACTTCAACATCAAGACCAAAGACACGGAAATACTCGAGTTGAAGACGAAACTAGAGGTTGCGAGCGTACGAAGAAATTCTGCTGAGAAGTTGGATGTAGCTACAGGCGCGGTCGGTGGTGGTGGTGACGATGGCGGTGATAACAGTTTAAATGAGTTGACTGATGAGAAAATTGAAGAGATGTTCCAACAAGAGCCTGTAGCAGTATCGACTGATATACAAAACGAACGAGAACCTGAATCCACAGTGGAAGGGAATACCGAGCAGTTAGAAAAGCAGGACACAGAGTCACTAAAAGAGACAACAACGTTAGTTAAGCTAATAAAAGAACTGAAAGATAAAGCTAGCTATTGGGAGAAAGCGCTTTTAGTTAAGGATGATGAACTAAAACTACTGAATGAGAAGTAGGTTTCATAAATGCTTTGACATAAACCTGGCTAGTTTACACACAAATTATTTATTGTAGAGTGAGTCTTTATGAAGAGCGTGAGAAATCATTAGAGTGTTCTGTTCATCCAGAACTGGAGCAGATGAGAACGCTACTGGAGGAGAAGGACAAGCACATCAATGATCTGACCGAGACACTTAATAATTTCCATGTAATATATATTATATAATTCAACTTAATTATATAAATTTCAGTATTGAACATTACGTCTACCCTCTCAGGATGACCAACAACGCTTTATTAAGGATTCCTCCAGCTATTCGGCGGACCAGATAGCAAAACTGCATGCCGATCTTACACGCACCGAAGCAACAAACAAAATTTACCATACCCAAGTCGAAGCACTGCGACGACAAATCACAAATCTGACACAGAGGGAGAAGCAAGCACGAGAACAGAATCAGTCCCTTCGTAACCAGCTCATAAAACGTCCAGTAGTTTCAATTAAAACCGAACTAAACGCACGAGTTAAAACTGAGAATCTGCAGAAAAGGATACAAACACTAGAACTGGACCTGGAAGATGCTCGCGCACAAATACAACGACAACAAATCTTACTCGAAGCAAAACGAGCGAAAAGTGCCTCTGAAGTTGGTTTGTGGGAAAAACAGAAACGCTGGCAACAGAATGCTGAGAAATTCAAAGCTAAATACGAGGAGACAGAATACGCTTTAGAGAAAACACGTGCGCTTTTGCAGTCAGCCCGCAACATGATCGCTCGTTTGGAAAAGGAGAAGCAAACACACGAAATGAGACACGGCAGAACAAATCAGAGTGCGGGAATGCCAGCTATGAAATGCTGTCGCACACCCTCTTGTCCGAATCTGCAACATGGTGGCTGCAAGTACACACCTTCAGAGAGTCCGGAAACATACACTGGAGCAAGCAGTGAATGCAGTTCTCCAGCGCATAGCGCGCTCAATCGTCATAAGCATATTGAGGCACATTTCTACGCTTCTACTAGTCGTAATGTCACCGCATACACTTCGACGGAAAAAAATCAACCTCATGAGGAGCTGATGGAGGCGCTTAAAGCCCGGATCGAGCTACAACAGCGCAAAATTCTTGCTATGGAGCTGGAGGGCAAAGGCAGTAATGTGCTAACGACCGAAATAGAAAGATTACAGGAGAAATTGTCAGAGATTGAAGCGCAGAATATACGATTGGAGGCAAAAAATCTGCAACTGCAACTTGATAACGATCTCTTACGCCAAGGCGATGAAACAGAGCGTTTGCAAAAGCGCATCAAATATCTGGAGGAGTAAGTGTGTTTTATGTGTGTATACCTTAAAGAAATCCGGTTTAGTTATTAACCTTCCACAGTTACATAATTGCTTTAAAAGAGGAAATGGCGCAATCCGAAGCACGACGGGAATTATGCAAGTGTTCGGGTATCAAAGTGAACACTCAGTCGGGTCAATCAGCGGAGCAAACCATTCTTTCGTTGCGCGGTATTGTAGAGAAGCTGCGAGCCGAAAATAAATACCTGAAAGATGTGCGACGATCGTGCGAATCTAGAGTAAGAGTGGAGTAAAACCAATAAACCTCGACGTTTATACGATATTGTCATTTTATTTCTTTTCAGAGTAAAAATGAATCGGCTAATGCGGATTTGAGTAGGTTACAAAAATTATACTCGGAATCGCTGGATAAAGTAGCGGGTTTGCAAGACGAGTTAAATAGCAAGGCAAAATGCAAAATTTGTAGCAAGGCACAGAATATGACTCAAACTAATGACGAGCTGGCTTTTATAAAGGAGCAACTTAGCAAAAAAACACAACTTTTACAAAAAGCAAAAGTTCTACTCACACGTGCCGCAGCCAAGGAAAAGGTACTCAAGGATCAGTTGTTAATGTGGAAGCGTAAATGCTCTGAACTTCAAAATGTACCAGTTATAGATGAGATAAGTGAATAATTATACAGTTCCACTTTAGCTATAGTTTTGAGTTATTAGATTAGGTCATTGATTTAAGCCATTAGAATAATAGTTTCGAAAAAACGAGATTATAAAAGCATGTATTTTAATTTTGAAAATAATTTGTTCATTTCATTTCCACTTCATTGGGATGGTATTTTAATATTAATGTTATTGTGGTTGGCATATTGACATCACTGACCATAATGGTTGCTCCATCATACAGCCCCAATTCAGCTAGAGACATCGTGAGATTTGCTCGTGTTTGTTGTTCTATACTTTTAACTGCTGACATGTACAGCGTTTTATTTTTACCATCTATAATTGTGGTTAAGCCTGGATGTAATAACAATTTCGTTATACTCTAAATTTTAAGTACACTTTTTTAAACACAAACCTGGACTCTTCAACTGAAAACGCTGACTTTCGCAAAGTATTTTAATTAAATCATCAAGCGTAGTTGTGTTTGGATCATCGACATTTAAATCTTGTGGTGTGTTACTGCAAGCCAGGCATGTATCACTTTTTTCCGGTGGGTAAGTGTAAGTATAAATGCCTTCAATGTCATTAAAATTCATGTAGTTGTTCATATTATCGTAGCAGCTCGTAGCCAATTTAAAAACCTTTTAATAAATATGTACATATGTATTATTTACTCATAATCTAACAGATTCTTTGCGTTTACCTCCGTGGCACAAGCTGCCGCAATAACAGCATTAGTGCTTGCAACGGCTGGAATGATGTTTTTAATCACACCTTGCACCAATCTTTCAATGACAGTAATATGTTAAAAATATATTATTTTTAAAGAAAAAACATAGAGCAATAAATGTATAGGCAATTTCCATAAATACGTCCGCTTACCTATAAGCGATTCCCGAAATATTATATTGATTGGCACGCTCTAGTGAGCGTTCGTACACCCATGCTACGTGTTGCGGATCATCACCATCTAGTGGTGCACCAAAAGGATTCTCTTTTTCAAATTGAATTATTTTAACATATTCTACGCAGTGCTCTGGTAAGCGCGGTGTATTGGCAATTGTGCACAATGGATATGTGACTTGTGGCGGAAACAAATCGAGAGTACACTCAATACATGACGTGAGACCAGGTAAGATTACACGCGCATTTCCTTTAAAACCCTCAGTGCCCCCATCAATCAATGGTATTATTGTAGATGGATCAACACTACCATCTTCATTATAGTCTAGCATGGAAATTAGCATACCGTTTATCCAACGACGTGCAACAATAGAATCTAATCCACACACAATAATATGAAATTGTGAATAAAAACTTTCATCAAAGTCTTGAATTTTAGCAAAATGTGAAGTTACATGACAAGTGGGAACACGCTCATTTATAAAACATGCAGCACATTCCGCTTTCGATGATCCTAGGTCTTTGCGCCTGAAGAGAAATTGGCGGTTCAAATTCGACAACTCAATTGTGTCCATATCAATTACATGCAAATTGCCAAAACCCATCATAGCAAGATCTTTTAATAATTCGCACCCTAAGCCTCCAGCACCTTCAAATTAGAAAAATATATGTAAAGGTTTATATTTCTTAAACAAAATATACATATGTATAAGCTCTTAGTTACCGATAACAAGAATCTTAAGCACAGTCTGTAAAGCTTCTAAATTCTCGGCAGAGGCGGTGAAGTCAGATTTGCAGAACGGACCCGGTCGCTCTAATATGTGACGCAGACTGTTCCATCGTTTGCTGTTTAATGAAATAAGTGGGTTTGGTGAGCCTGACAAAACCGGTAATATATCAGAAGCCATTTTAACTTAGACACAAACTTAGCACAAATAGTTTGACAAAATTTCAAGAATGAAAAAATGTTGAAAAGCTGACTAAATACTAAAATTTGAACTTGCAAATCAGCTGTTCCAACTATCTCCCAGCCGGGAAACTAAATCAGTAATGCCAGCATATTAAAATTTTCCCCTTTTGACGTACATTCATAGCACAAAAGGCACAAACAGTCACCGACGCAAAACCGTGGACCGAATCAGCTGATACGACCTATCTTCTGAGAGCCCAATGTTAATGAACACTCAACACCGCTTCAACAGACCGCATCAGAGATAAGGAGATGCCCAACTCGTCTCTCACTGGAAATGAGAGCGCAATTGAGAAACGTCAAAACCAACTGAACTCAAGCAACTGTCAAAGTTGGCCAGATTAAAATCCTACAGAAAAATATGTAAACAGAGAGATTTGTGCTGCTGTTGAAGATCACTAACAAAAATTAGAAAACAATGAAAATGAAAGAAAACGCGAAATTGAAATGTATGTGATGATATCTTTTGTGATGTCATGCTAAGTGGTATTGATTTTCAATTGAAAATTTTTAAAAACATTTATTAATTGAGAGCTAATACATTTATTCTTTTGATTACGTATTGAAAGTTCAAAAATCAATTATTTAACATATCACAAAATCACAAAAAGAGAGTATAAAAAGTTTCTGCATATGTTTAACGGATACATGTATAATAATATTTAATCTTAATAAATGATGGGTATTTTAATTTAAATTCCGATCTGGCTACAATGGAAAATGTTATAAAAAACGCTAATTTTGAGGCGCTCTCACACTGGAAAGAGTTGGGCATCCCATTATCCCTGGACCGCATGGACATGGATAAAATGATCCGAAACTCCTCTCTTTGCCTTCTGAGAGAGCTCATGAACTTTCAGTGCTGCCAAAAAAAACCACGAGTTCATGAGCTACTGTACAGATGACAAGCAAAACAATGAACTACCACTAAGAATCCCGCAGAAATAAATTGCTAAATCAGTGGGTAATTTGTGATATCTGATTTTTTGTTGACTTTTATATACTTAATTTGGTTAGAATTCCCAGCAAATGTTATGTAAACTTTGACTTCCGAATAAATTATTAAAAGATATTTATTTATAGTGTGAAATATTAAATTATTTTGTTAAATTTAGTTTTAAACGTTAATTTTGAAAATCTTTTGTGATTAAAATATATATGTATATATAATTAGATAGAATAGGATATCTAGCTTGTTAAACTAATTGTAATTATGTATATTTTTCTGTAAAATGGAAATCGAAAAATACCCAAGAAATACATTAAAAAATTTCAAAACTTATTTCTTTTCTTAGTGGCACTACTGTCAAATGTTATAAAAAATGTGGACTTTGACAGCGCTCTCTCGAATCAAAGAGTTTCGGATCATTTTATCCATGTCCATTATCTATGTGCCGTTTCACACAGGGATTCAAAAGAGTCTCATACCAGTTTATTGTGGGCGAGGGGACGACGAGGAAAGACGAAGGGACCGTGTTCGGGTGGCACGCTTTGTGTTCTTGTTCGTAACAGCTCGCTGCTACCCTTTTCAGCATTCCTTTTCACTTTCAAATTCTTTGAATGGTTGCAAGAGCGCTCGCTTTCAAATGAATTCGATCGCAAATTTGAGTTCTGTTATCTATTTTTGTATGTAATATGCAAATACGTATGCATAGAATAATAGAAATATCATGACAAATTGTAAATAAGGAGAAAATTAAGATATAGATTATGGAGTAAAGAAATTATGAGTTTTTAATACTTAAAGATTAGGTAATTCCTATTATAAATTTGGCCTTGAAAATATTAGTTGCGGATATTCAACACATTCTTGTGGATTAGGGAATTCCCGTCTTTAGTATTTCTTTGAAACTATTTAGCGCGTAGGTACTTGTATTATGCATATTGTTCTACCATATTCATGGTAATTCATTGCAAGCAAAATGTGTGACCATCATCTCAACATACAAATGAAATACGCAGCACGCAGTGTTGCGCGGTGTTGCGCAGTCGAACCGCACAAATATTTACGAAACTTTTGTGAAAAGGAATGCAGAAAAACTAGACTCGAGTTGCTGGACTCTTATTAACCGTGTGAATGTCCAGAGCGACACCAAAAGAAAATTTGAAAAAACTCAGACTCTTTTGAATCCCTGTCTGAAACGGCACTATGCGGTAGGATATCCAGGAAAATTGGATTCTTCCCGTAGAAATGAGTGAGCTGAGAGTGAGAGAGCAATCTCTTGCAACGCAGGGTTGCCAACCTCAATATTTTGTAGTAATAAAAAAATTACCTTGAATATATTTGAAATATTCTTAAATTAACTTAAAATCACAGTCGAATACACTTATTTAAAAACAAGTAAACTATTTATGCATTTTCAAAAATTATAACTAAAAAACTATATATGTGAAAAATTGTATACACAAATTGAACAATGGCAACAGTGGTCAAATGAAAACAAAAGACAATAACCGATTTCTACGTTGCGACTACGGTAGTACGGACGGGCGGTAAGTATAGAACGGAGGAATGTCGGTGACTGTTTTGGCACTTTGTGCTATATCTTTCTTGCTACATAAATGAATTTTATGGTTATAATTAGGAGATGGCGATGAACGGGACGAAGTCCTATTAAAGCCAGAGAACGTATATCATAGAGAAGGTTCATGATGTGCCGATTGTCAACATGTTCCTCTTCACGGAGGGTTACTCGCCAACATTAGAGGAGTTTACCACTTGAAAATTAAAAGAACGCATATTATTCTCTGCTAAAACGCGACTAATTGTAATGTATCTGTTGATTTTATATTGTACCTTAGGCACTAAAATTTGATAAATAAAATATACATAAAAAAACCAGATAACACGTTGCCTTGGGCTGCACCTAAGCTTTAATACCCTTCACAGGGGCATATCTTATAGCTTAACACGGTTTGAAAAGATCTTTAATGTTGTTTAATCTGTAGGTACCTAATAAAATTCTTCCGCACAAGTACTTTATGTTGGGCGATTAGTTTGTACGAAAGCTATATCCTAAAAATAGTCCAATATCGTCGTTCAGTTTAATAAGCAGAGTCTTGGGCGAAAAGGAAGTGTGAAAATTTCAAATCGAAATCTCAAAAACTTAGGGAAGAGTTCGCGTATATGCAGACGGACACATCTGAGGATGTCACGCTGATTATTAATGTAGATATACTTTATGGGGCTTAGACGTGTCATTTCAGGTGTTAAAAACTTCCTGCCAATCTTAACAAACACTCTTCAGGATATAACAATGCAAGGAATGTAACAATTTAATTACGACAAAATAAAAACGTTTTACAAGTAGGTAAAGCTTTTGGCCCTGTCTTTGCATACGAAAAAATAGTATCTCATTCACCCATTATTTCACGATTTCTAAATGTTACGGGGCATGTTGTTGTCGTCGCGGTTATCAAGTCCCCGCTTAGATGGTAACGTGCGGTTTCGACGGGGTCGAACCATAGGGGAAGGTAAAATTGATAGCAATAAAGTTGTCTAGACAGCATCTATTGCCTCTTGAGTCGCCCCATTACTTTCATTCTGTTCTGTTCTTTATTATTACTCGCTATGTGGCAAGGTTATTTTGGAATTCGCCGCGTTTGTTTGATTTCAAAAGTTCCAACGCTCGGATCCTTTTTGTTTGCTTGTTTATAGTTGAAGCAGCTGCTGCGTTCTTTAAAATGAAAATTGTACAATAAAGCAATGTAAATTGCATATTACTTTGTTTTTTTGTAGTAAAGTGTTGTTTATAAAATATATAAAAGGTGTACTTTGTAAATATGGCTCCACAGCGTGAACCCATTAGTGTGCGTACTACTCGCCTAAACAATATAATTCTCAATAGAAGCTGTTTCGCGGGTTTCGGGAATGGCGTCATACAAAGGAAGTCAATAGCAGCAGGCCGTCGGAGCACCTATGGTGCTGCAACCGTAAGTCCTGCTTTATCGGAAGCCCTTACGCGCGAAAGTCTTCTAGATGCACTATGTTTGTTATACAATGAGTGCAGTAAAGATTCATTGAAGAAACGTGATCGTAGTATTGCGGAATTTGTTCATAAATGTAGGTAACACAATTTATTCCGCCTTTGAATATCATACCATATATGTATATATATATATATATAATTTTTTTTTTTTTGTGTTTAGTTCGCCCAATAGTGGAGGAGGCCCAATCGCTACGTGCTAATGTTGATGATTTCACAGTAAAGACACTCATTGGTAAGGGATATTTCGGCAATGTTCACTTAGTTATTGAACGTCAGACAAATGATGTCTATGCAATGAAAAAGATAAAAAAGTCGGTTGTTACCACATCACAAGTAAAAGAAGAACGTGATATTATGGCACGTCGAAGTTCGGAATGGATAACAAATCTTCAATATGCATTTCAAGTATGTATCAAGGCTATTTTAAGAACAAAAAGAGACACTGTCACATTGATTGAAATTTTATATTATTTATTAGGATACTGATAATTTGTATTTAATAATGGAATTTCTTCCTGGCGGAGATTTACTAAGCTTAATGTCTCGGCAAGGACCCTTTGACGAAGAACTTGCAAGATTTTACCTCTCTGAACTTACATTGGCTATACATTCGCTACATGAAATGGGCTATGTACATCGCGATATCAAACCAGAAAATATTTTAATCGATCGCTTTGGACATATTAAACTTGCAGACTTCGGCAATGCAGCTGCGCTTGATCGTGATGGGCATGTGTTTAGCCTTTCGCCGGTTGGCACTCCAGATTACATCGCTCCTGAATTATTGCAGACAATATCCACATACAAACTAACAAAGTCCATGCATGATGTGAGTTTTCACACTTACTCTTCTATCTATTTCGGAATGTGATATGTCCTCAAAATTTAATTCTATGATGAAGTATTTCGACAATTCTTTGCGTTCGTTTATTTGTTATTATTATTTCAGGTAAGCTGTGATTTTTGGTCAATGGGAATTATTGGCTATGAACTTATCTGTGAAATAACCCCATTCCATGAAGAAAATGTTCACGAGACATACTCGAAGATTTTGAGCCATTGTGAAGACAGTCATTTGAAAGAGATTATAACATTTCCTTCGGATATAAATGTGTCCGAAAGCTATAAAAATCTCATTAGTTCTCTCGTTACGAACCCTACAAATCGTCTGCCTTATGAAAAAATTAAACTGCATCCATTTTTCGAATCTATAAAATGGGAAACACTTCGATCCAAAGTACCACTCATCATTCCCAGTGTAAATAGTGACGACGACACTTCTAATTTTGAAGATGTAATGCGCAATAAAAAGCGTACCAACACATTTGTTAAAAAATCAATTACCACGAATGTTCAGTCGAACGAATTCTGTGGTAAAGATCTGCCCTTTATAGGTTACAGTTTTGTGCATATGGCAAAACAAAGCGTTGATGCTGAAGGTGCTGCTGACGATGTCCGCTTCAGTCGTTTGAATATTAAAATAAAAGATTTGCAATCAAACCTAAAAGAGCGCGTGGAAGAGGTTAATAAATTAAGGCAACAGTTAATCCGGGCAGAACAAGCGGCTAAACAATCAGACACTCAATCTAAAATATTACAAGATGCCAAAGATGAAATCAATAAAATGAAGAATGTAATCAAGGAAAAGACTATGGAGTTGGCAGCATGTAAAACGCAAATAAAAACTCTACAGAGTTCAGTAAAAGTAGAGGAGGAAATGTGGGAAAAGAAAGAGGCAACAATAACTGAATTATTGCGGGTAAATCGGCAGAAATACGAAGAGGCAAAAATTGCCTCAGAACAGCGTTACGAAAAATTAATTGCAGAGAAAAAACACGAGTTGGCGAACATTATCCGAAAGTTGGATGCACGAGAAAGTGAATTGAACGGCAAAGCGGAAGAATGCAAGCATTTACAGGAAAAAATGGAGAATTATAAAGAAATGTTACGTCAATTTAAAGACCAGGCTCTGGCTGATAAGGAAGCTTTTGAAAGAAATAAGCTACAGCTAAGCGAAACATATGAACAAAAGTTGACAGAGCTTCGTTCTAAGTTGAGGAATGAAAAAGATTCAAGGTCTCGTCTCACAATAGAATTACGCGAAGTACGAAATGAAGTAGACGAATCAATTAGCACATCTAAATCACTACAAGAGTCAAAGTTAGCCATTGAAAAGAATAATGATGAAATATTGAAACGATTGAATAGAGAGTTAGAGGAGAACAATTCTTTACATGCTCAAAATGCACAGTTGGAACATCAATTAGAATCCACACAGAAGGCATTACAGGAACAACAACACGAAGTTAATCGTCTAGAGCGCGAATTGAATGTATGTATTGACAATAATCTAATTATCTAAACAAAAGTATCAAATTCATATATTTGGAACTTCATCCAATCCTTTAGGTAGCAGAATGTGGAAAGAATTTGGCACAATCGGCACTTGCAACGCATCAATCTACCCCTTATGAAACGGCACCAGGCTCACTGACGGAGTTACATGTTATAGAAGAGCAGTTGCGCGCCGATTTAGAAGCGGCAAAAGAAAATGAAAATGTACAGAAAACCCGAGCTGACAAATTGCAACAAATAGTTGAAAAACTTGAAGAAATGTTGGAAAAAATGAATGAGCAGTCACTATCACAATCCCCAAAGAAAGGTGGATCATGTAGCAATGAACATCCGGTTCCTCATCATATTCCCAGTAGCGTTGGTGATATGCTGGAAAAACAGAATGAGAAATTAGAAGATCGACTCGTCGCCGTCCGCGAACAAATGATTGTTGAACGACAGGCGGCGCGCACTGCAAATCTTTCACTTTGGAAAGTGGAGAAACAACTAGAAGAGGCTATTGCTGAGAAAAAAATGACGCAGAGGCGAATGGAACTAACTGAAGATAAAATAAAGAAAATCCAGGCGGAAAAAGATGAGGTTCTACGTCAATGCAAAACTGCGCAGGATGAAACAAAACAACGGGATGAACGCATTCGTGAGCTCCGAGATGAAATGTCTTCATTAAAACGTGACGTAATGAAAGAACATCGCATGTGGGAGAAAGCTGAACAGGAACGCATGCAGTGCAAATCTGAGGTAACCAATTAAAATTATATAGAAAATGTTTGCTTTTTTATAACGCTTTTATTAGCTTCACCTGTATGTTTGTAATTTTTCCCTGTGCAAGCGATAACTTAAGCAAAAATTGAGATATATTGATAAAACTTGCTAATCCGGCCACTGCCACTGCCACGCCCACAAACGTCATTAAAACAAGAAAAAACGTTAACTCGGTTGCACCGAAGCTATAATATCCTTCACAGATACAAAGGTTCCTTCCAAAAAATTGATTCAGATCTAATTTCGTGAATCGGCAATTAAAAATAATTTTTTTTTTCCATGCAGGCACTTTACTCCGATCGTTCAGTTTATATAATAGCTATATGACACAGCGATCCGATCTAAACAATTTTTTCGGAGATTATATTCTTGCTTTAGAAAATAACTCATGTCAAATTTCGTCAAGATACCTCGTCAAATGATAAAGTTTTTCATGCAAGCACTTTAGTTTCCCAGCCGAAGCAGCTGTCATGCCAATCCCTGTGATCCCTGAATAAGGGATCTCAATTTGGAGATTCAGAAAATGGTAAATCAACATAAGCGGACAAAATGGATAGAGCACCTGAAGTCCTGCAATCTCTCCACCGGTGTGAGTAAGCTTTGGACTACTGTCAAGGCCTTGTCTAATCCGAAGAGACATGACGACCGGGTTGAAATCCAATTCGATGGTCATACCTCCTCGGATCCGAAGAAGTGCGCGAGCTATTCTAGCCGGTAGTTTACACTGCACCGTTGGAC